TATCCAGAGTAAGTTAGCCATTTCTTCATCCAGTCAGCGTTTTTAGTTGGAATTCTGTGAAACATGGTATTACCTCCCCTGTTTACAGTCGCAGCTATTTACAATAGAGCGAAAACCCATGACTCTAAACTACGCTTTTACTATTTATAAATTGCTGACTCTATTACCCAAACACCGAGCGAACTCTCCGCTCCTCACCACGGCGTGTCTCCGGTGATGCGGTTATTACGCCGTCAAAGTAGCAGTGCTTCGCCTTCAGAGAATAGTTCCCAGGTTTTATACGGTTAAAAGATGTCTGTGTCTCATTTGACTTTGTTATTTGTACATTATGTGACTATACAAATCACAACATGTAAATAGGAAAACGTTTGCGTTATTTTGCCACTCATTTGGATCAGTATGAAAGCTGCAACCAGTCACATCAAGTCTTTGTGCTAAGCTAGGCTAGCGGTGGGTGCGTCAAACAGACTTATAGCACGCACGGAAATGAAAAAGGTATGTATGGACTTATCTAACTCTGGGGGGTAAGGTGAATAGGCTAAAGTCCCAAAAAGTCGGAGTGTTCCTTTAAGGAAAACCTGATGAAGAACATAATCATGGGCATCTTAAAACTATAAATGAAACAATTTGTACAGAATTCTTAACGAAACTAAAGAATTTTATGTTCAAGGAATACATTAAGTGGAGGAATTCAACTCCAAAAGGCTGTTTTGTTATTTTACAGTGCCATTCATTATTTTTTTTTTTTTGTACTTTCCTGTTACAGTTTTATTTCTTGTCCTGCAATCATGACAAAATATACTACAAACCATACTTCAACTCAAAAGAAAATGAGTAACAAAAAAAAGAGAGAGAGAAACAAAGCAAGCAAGCAGGCAGACAGTGATTACAGGGTATATAAGAGACAGAAACATACAGTATGCAAAAAGGGCCATGTGGTAGGCAAGATGGAAGGAAACCATCTCTTTTCCTAATTCTATCTCTCCTTTTCTCTCTGTGTGTAGTAAGGTCAGAGGGTTTGGGTCAGTGAATGGAGTTCAGAGTGAAGGATGTGGTCATCCTGATGAGAGGTTTAAGGCAGCAGTGATGCTGTGGTTCAGCTATAGTCTTTTCAGCATAGATGTCAGATCACAGCACTCTCATTTCTCTCAGGCTTACTGTGCCACTCAAATGAACACCACACATATCTCTCTCACTACTGTAGTCTAGTTAGAGGAAAATATGTTTCTGCTCATTACGTCGTGATGCTGTTTCTGGGTCCAAGCCTATAAGTGAGAATACTATCTCAACAGCCCCTTATAAGCACTAAGCTTTTAAAAAACTCAGTTTACACTACAGTCTCCATCCAAGCTCATAGAGTCACGGACACCAATATCTTAAGATTCTGGAAAGATAATTCACTCTCTGACCAACTGAGATTTCACTATGGAGATAAAGGTTAGGATCATTATTTTTTGGTAGTGCTACAGCTGATATGGCTAGATTATGTTATTCTGTCTTTTATTTTGAAATTCTGTCCTGTTTCCTTTTGTTCTTTAAAGGGATACTCCACTTTTTTTTTTTTTTTTTGGAAATAGGCTCATTTTACAACTCCCCCAGAGTTAAACTGTTGAGTTTTACCTTTTTTGAATCCATTCAGTCGATCTCCGCTTTTGGCAGTACCACTTTTAGCATAGCTTAGCATACATCATTGAAGTGCACAAGACCATTAGCATTTCTCCCAAAAAAATGACCAAAGTGTTTCGATATTTTTCCTATTTAAAACTTGACTCTTCTGTAGTTAGATCGTGCACTAAGAAGACAGACAGAAAATGTAAAGCTGCGATTTTCTAGGCTTATATGCAGGGAACTCTCAGCGTAATAATCAAGAAACTTTACTGCTGTGCCATGAGTGCAGCAAGCGCGATGACTACACAAACTTAGTCCCGGTCACGTTGGAAGCTGGGCACTATTTTCAGGCGCTGCGTCATAACATTACGCCTGCTGCACTCATGGTAGGCAGTAAAGTTTCCTGATTATTACGCAGGAATGAGAGTATAGTTCCAAGCCATTTCAGCCTAGAAAATCGCAACTTTACATTTTCCGTCGGTCTTAGTGCACGATGCAACTACAGAAGAGTCACGTTTTAAATAGGAGAAATATCAAAACACTTTAGTCATTTTTTTCTGAGAAATGCTAATGGTCTTGTGCACTTCAATGATGTAATGATGTATGCTAAGCTATGCTAAAAGTGGTACTGCCAGAACCGGAGATCGGCTGAATGGATTCAAAAACACTAAAACTCAACAGTTTAACTCTGGGGGAGTTGTAAAATGAGCCTATTTACAAAAAAAGTGGAGTATCCCTTTAATAAAGTGTGTTTTGTTTTGGAATTTCCTTCGTTGTGTGCTCATACAGCCAATCGTGACAACAACAGCACACTGTGTGTGTATATACACCTTTTGCTGATCTGATAGGGCATTCAGGTCTAGATTGTAGAAATGAATTATACAGAAATGAATTATACATTCGTCAACTGTGTAATGCCTGTGTTAAAAACATTGTTTGGGAATAAGATGCTAAGCATCTTATCATGCGTCCTTTTTTATTAACACTGAGAGCCTCATTTGCTCTTTAGTTTATGTAAACACATGTTGACAAAAAGAATGTCTGACTCAGTTTCTGGCAGCATGGGACTTCCTGATAAATGGAGTCTTGTTTAGATCAGTCACCTCAGATTATTCTGGAGGTGCAGTGCAAAATCCAATAATATACTCTATCAATGTCTTTCACAAAGATCACAGCCAATCACAATCAGCCAGAGAGGAAACAGCTCAATGAGGTCTAATGACACAAGAGCTGAAGAGGATGAGTCACTGACTGCCAGCTGATCTTTCATTGTGTTAGATGAAATAAGAAAGGTAGGTAGCAGAGGCTGCTGGGGATTCTGATGGCCGCCCTCATGCACTGCTGTGCAATGGATAGTATAGGGTCGAGAAGGGTCGAGTGAGTCCCCATGAAATCAAAATTGAAAATTATTTTTTGTGGAATATTGCAGTAAGCTATTTATTCGAAATGATTTATCCCTGCACATCATTATTTATTTTTTATTCATGTGCTCTCATAATCTTTAATCCAAATAATTACCCCTCCCGCTTGCAACGACATCAGCTGTGTCTGAAATCGCATACTTACCTTCTATATTGTAGGCGAAAAACTATGTAACAAAAGTATGTCCGAAATCACATTTCTCAAGAGTAGATACATACTGTTTTTCACCTATATAGTAGGGAAGTATGTGATTGCGGATGCAGCCATCTCTTCTCTGATAATGTGTTTAATGGTGCGAGGGTGGGACAACCTGTCACTGACATGAGATCACAGCAGCAAACCACAACCATCCAATCAATTCCCAATGGACAAAATCAAGTCCCACCCTACATTTTTTCTGGTTCGAGAAGCCACATATCCGTAACATTAGTGAAGAAAAGATTGTGTATTCCAAGAGACATGAGCGCTTTGGTAAGAAAGCGTTACTTATGCATTTCTATGTAATCAATGTAAAGGCAATGAATCAGTATGCATAGCATATCCCAGAATAGTAAAAAACTACTTTCACTGACCTCACTCCTGGAAATGTGTGGATTATATAAGATCACAACACAGCCAGCCTCAACTCATCCTGCCTCCAGTCCAAATAAAGAGTGCTAGGAAAAGAAACAGAGGGACATCAGAGAAGAGCTCTGCAATTAAACACACACTTGGAAAGCACTGATACAATTACATTCATTAGAACATCAGTAGCTGGTTTGCCCTTATTTTCAGCTTTTTGTTTACATTTTCAACCACAACAGAATACATTTTTCTTTGGTAAAATGCTCTCCTCTCTCATATTACTTTTAATTGCTTCAGCATGTTATGTTCGCACTGTCACAGTGATGTCACTCTTCTACTCTGTATTTCATTATTAAATGGATGTAAAAATGTTGAGGTTGGTACTTCCTGTTCTTTTTGTGCAGAGTGATAATTCAAAGCGAACTGAGATGACTCAGTGGTGCTGATGACGAAGAGTATGGACCAGTTTAGGAGGCAAAGGCCTAGAAAAGAAAACGGTGCTGAGAGAGCAGGATTGATCGCTCACCAACACAGCACTCTGTCTCCCCCTGCCGTTCACCTCTCATAACTCATGCCATCAGACTGATCGCATTTCTGGTAGTTACTGACATCAAATAAACAAATAATTGTAGTCAGTAAAACTAGTGTGTGTTTGTAAAAAATCTCTCTTTATACAAAATACACTATACACAACAAAATCACAGATTAACCTATTGCAAATAGATTTTATTTCACAGTGACTGAAAGGAAATGTGCAATGAAAATGGTTTATAAAACATATTATGTAATGCATAGTACTGCATCGAAAGCACTTGAACAAGACTCCATCTGCTTCACAAGAAATAACCAAAGTACAGGTCCTATCACATGCAATACTACTAGATTAAAATAAAATGATTTTAAAAATGAGTTGTTTTGAGCATGGAACGTTGTGTTTTAAATGGCTTTACGAGGTTTACTGGAATTATCATGGATAAAACATAAAAACTTCCTTAAAATACAGTTGTCTCTGTGAATAAATGGACAGCACATCTCTTCTCTGTTATCCTAACAATATATCTGGCCCACGCTGGATGCACATTATTGTAACTTCACTCAAAACGAGTTTCACTGAGTTTACATCCGGGGCTTTTCCCTAGGCAATGGGGGGCGCACTACAACCGTTCCTTAGGCAAAGTGAAATAAATTCGCCGCACCGTTACATAAACTAGTTCTCTTCTTCTAAGTGATCTTTCGGGCTCGGTAATACTTCTTTCGCCCCGGTTTGCGACAATATTAAATTAATATCTAATAATATCCATAATGTGTTATGTTGGGCGAGTTATTTTGGGGGTTACATGGCATGGTTTTGCTGTCCCATTATCTCTCTTCTGCGCGCATTGATACGACGAGCGCACAAGCTGGGGGTGAATGGGATGGAAGAAGAGTTCTTGTTTTGTATATCAGTTTCTGTCTTTTTATGTATTTTTGGTTTAAAATCAAGCAAACATAGCGAAGATTCCTTCTGTTACACTATACAAAACTTTAGGGCGCAAAAGGGAGCGAATTCATCCGTGGAATAAGATTTTAGTGGTGAAATGCCCGGCTGTTTGTAGATATATATTTAAATAATTGGTGAGTGTGTGTAAGTGTATGAAGATCGGTGTTTGACTGCTGGAGGAGTGAGTACAAGGGTAAGTGCACCTCGGTTTTTTTCATCTTCATCTTGTGAACTTTTGGGAATGGTGTCTTGCAACTCTTTAAGCGTTCTTTATTTGATTGTGCTGGTAGTGATTTGAGTGGATGTGAAAGCGCAGATGCAGCGCAGGGGGGTTTTGTTCATTTCTCTTTATTGTAGGAGTTGCAGAATAGAGAGAGAGAGAGAGGGAGAGAGAGAACGAGAGATAGAGAGAGAGAGTACAGCTGCAGTCAAAGAAACGTTATAACTTACAACCGTTACACAATAACGCACCGAATGGCACCCAAACACCCTTTAAACGACACACTTGCTTGACAGAACTAGAATAATATGGTTGAAAATGCGATTGCATCGCGTGCCGTAGTTTTCACATCATGCCGTCAAACAATCATGGGATGCCATTATAAATGTACTTTGCGCTTACATTTACATTCATTAGAGCAAGGGACGAAATCTCGAGCCATAAACAGGCTAAAGTGTGTATCGGTACTCTTGATGTGTTGAGCTCGACCAGCCCGCGCGGTGTTGAGCTACTGTTATTGTTAAGAGCCGCTAGGGCGACAAGACGTGTGATCATGAAAGATTTTTTCCAGTTCGTGTTCTCGGCACCACGCCTTGACATATCTGCACAAACGTGAGCTCGCTTTCATGAAGTCTCCTAAAATCTGTTCGGTGGTAAGGTGGAGGAAAGTTGTAGGCCCCGTGTAGTGAGTTTGATGTGTGATTGTGTGACTATATAAAGTGATGTTGCTGTTTCCGGTGTGGATGCGTTGGAACGCTAATGATGATGGTGATGACCTTTTTCTCAAGCTTTCAGATGGCGCTCGGTCCGTTTTAACGACTGGACGGTCATAAGGTCCTTTCGCAGTCTCTCTCAATGTGTCCTTTTTTCAATTAGTGCTGTTTTGTTTATTAGGTTTAGTAATGTATATCCGTCAAACAGGATGGTTGTTCCTCATCAAAAAAATCACACCCTGTTTTTTTAATATTTTTATGATAAAATTGCTACATTTAGGCCTACGAAGTTATAATATAAAAGGCCTACAGGTTTTTCTTCTCTTCAGCTCTGTCATGTTTTATTCATGTGTGGCTGTGGTCTTCCATTATCAACTATGTTGACTGTACAGCCATTTTTATGTTTGTTTCTTCCTCTTAACTCCACCTGCCCTTTTCTTTCAATGGGTCACCAAATTCATCCAGTTAGACATTTCATCATTTAATGTGCAATAAATTAATGTATTTATATTTTTCAATAAATTAGGACTTTAATAATGTAGTTTATTATTTTATAAATATTGCTTTTATTTTTAGTTCTACACACACAGTTGTATATTGTGTAAAATATAAGTCTTTACCTCCTGTTTAGTGGTTTTCTCACTGCATGTTATAGTCATGTTACTTTCACTTAAGGATGGGGAGTGGATACCAAGTCACTTGCCCTGAGTGATTTCGGGCCTCCATTTTTTGGTATTTTTTCAGACATCAGGTCCACACACTCCATGCCTTCCCCCAGTTTCTCAAATGTCTGTTTCCCCCAGGATACATAAACCATTTAAGGATTAAACATGTCATAGATACTCTCAATGTGTATCCAGATACACACATGATGAAGGCTATATGTTCATGCTCTCTCAGCAATAAGGGGACTTTGGCCAATAAAGCACAGACACGAATTTACTTGCCGAGTATCTGCTTAAGCTAAAATTATGCCCTAAAATTGCAATTAATAATCGTAGTTTAGTTCTTAAACATTTGAATTATGCTACTCCATTCTGAAAAGACTGGCCATACGTGCAGGGCTTTGGAGAATTGTTCTGAAGACTTGGACAGGAGATTATGAACAGATTGATGGAGTGATGCAAAGGATATAAAAACTACAATAAGTGGAAATGTATAGTTTAGAATATAATTATAGAATATAGTTTCAACATGACGCAATCTAAGCTGCAGTTTACCTCACCACCATGACAATTTGGCAAATCTGACATTCCTCCTCCACCCCAGCTCCAATTTGTTTCTAATACTTCTCCCCTATATTAAAGTGACCTAGTCTATTATGCCCCTTTTTTACAAGATGTAATATAAGTCCCCACAGAATGTCTCTGTGAAGTTTCAGCTCAATTGCATTCAAGCTAAAGTGACAATGCAGTTCTTAATCACCATGAAAGTGTATTATCTGCATGTGGTTTGAAGCCATGTGTAAACTTCTGATATATGGTTTTCTGAGCGCACACATCCGAAGCACTCGCACAGAAAGCTGGCTGTCAGATTCCATTTACACCTGGCCACATAAATGTGTTTTTGTAAATCCGATCTTCAACTCCCGCGTTATATGCAGATTTAATGGATTGCACACCACCAAAAGCAACAGATATGAGCTGCATTTTATTGATCATCAGATCAAAGACATCAATAAGAGAGAGTGACAAAAGGTCAAAAGCCCTGGTAAGATCATTTCATTTCTTTACTTGAAGATGATTGTGTGTTAAGTGTCTGTGACTTACTTTCACTTTTATTTGCGATGTTTGCACGTTGGCTTGATGAATAGATGCTCATATCTGACTATAACATGACATATAGCCTATATAACACGCTCTCAATCGTTTATTTTTTAGCATTTTTGGGAGGAGTAAAATATGTGGTTTCAACAACCAGATTGAGTTTACACCTAGTAATTATCCGAACACAATGCGAGCCAGACTACCTCCTAGGGATGGCTCGATACCACAATTTTGGCTTCGGTACGATACCAGAACCTAATACCTCGGTATCGATACTAAATCGATACCACAGTCTGAAAAAAAAGAGTCTAAATTTAAGTGAATTGAAACAATTTTATTAAACACTGCTTGAAACTCTCAACTACCATATATGCAAAGAAAAGTATCCCCCCCCCAAAAAAAAAAACGTATCAAAATTTTAAAAATAAAATTATGTGTAGGTAAAATTTTGATTTGGGAAAACCACTGATATTACACAATTAAAATAGGTTAATATAATAGATTAACATAATAGAATAATTAAATGACGGTAACCATTAGCTGTCATGCATCAACAGAGAATTATCAACATTTATTGCATTTATTCATCTTGGTTTGGTTACTGTTTGTGTTTGGGCTCATATTATGCATATAATGCATTGCAAAAAGTAATGTTATGATGCTAACCATATATTAGGATATTACATTTTTAGGTCATTTTATTACTGATTGATCTAGATTAATCAATGCTATATTGTTAGGCCAGGTTCCTTAATGAATGTTGACAAATGTAGCTTAATTGTAGGCTAATATTATTAATATTTATATTACTACCCTCTCTCTCTCTCTCTCGCTCTATCGCCACAGCCCCAGTAATGCCATTCATTTATCACTTTTATGCTTTATTAATTTAAATTAAATGAATATATTTGTTTGAAATAAATTGCAAAAATGAGATCATGAGACGTAAACTGAATTGGTATAGCGTGTCATGCAAGAAGATTTGAGCTTTCGTGTTTACCATATCATATTTAATTGATAAGCTCTTAGGTATGTGCGCTGTTCAGTGTTCAATAAAAGTCTAAATTAAATCATTTGAATGATGAACTCACCAGTCGATCTCTTGAACAAGTCAGGACGAGCAACTGACGAGCGCTTCAGCAGATTTGATGTGTTGCCTTCCATGGCAACACATTATTGAAAGCAAAGTTTGCAGAGTGGTTCATTGAGGTCTGTGTCTACACTATTCTCATTACTTTAGTAGGCAAAGTAATGCCTTATTTCACTAATACTGCTCTCTCTATTTAATAATTTCGGGCGTGTAAAAACCCGAATGAGCTTTATTCCACCGTGTTCCTTCGTTTGCCAGTTTCGCGTGACTTGCGTCAGTTTCGGTAGCGCACTGCCGCCTAGTGGAGAACTTCGGAAAAGCAGCTCATCAAATACCGAATTTAACAAAATGATGATATTGTACCGTTTTAAATTAATTATATACTGGTATTTTTGCAATACCGGTATACCGCGCATCCCTACTACCTCCATATGTGGTCAGGCAGATCCGATCACAATCCGATCACAACGCATAACCTTGCATTAAGGGTGGAGGTTGTTGTCGCATCGGGCATCTGCGAACTCAAACATGTGTAAGTACCGATCTTTTATACAACAAGAATAAGAACGTGATTGGATAACCTGAAGGTAACACGTGACGCGGTAATTAAGTCTTCCTGGCAGAACTTATGCTAAAGCTTTCATATCAGTGTATTGGTGAAAGCAGCGTGATATTCAGTACCTACTGATATTAATCAAACAGCAATAGGAAAAACAGAAAATCACTCACTGCCCTTGATTGAATAACTTTAGTAGCTTACATTATTAGATACAGTTCTTACTTGAATGCTGCTGTTATGCTCACTCAGCAGGGAGGGGTCTATGCTTATAGGCCTTTATCCCACTTCCGTGTCTGAAAAGTGGAAGCTTCAAACAGGAGTGTGAAACAACTTCTTCAGCAGCCTGTATCAATGGCTGTGCCCATAGTATGGGATTGTTTTGATTTGTGTAAAATTCCCAAAACTTAGGCCTGTGTTATGTTAAACTTCTAGTAGAAGACACCAACCTCAGTTTACAATGATTAATTGGGTACTGTGAAACAAAGAAAAAAGGTGTTTCAATATTCTAACGCATATAGGGGAACGCACAAGCCATACTGTGTAAGCGCAGTACTTCAGAGTCTGATCACCTTATTGTATTGCATAACTGCAAGAATAAAATTTGGGGGGATTAAATTAAAGGTTTGGGGAAAATTATTAAACGATAATGTTTAAATTGTTTCATGAATTTACTTTAAAGGGGTCATGAACTGGCTTTATATTGTTGTCTGAGGTCAACTTATGACGTTCGCTTGGTTTTTACATTAAAAAACATCAAAATGAAGAAGGCTATTTTCTAGCCCAGTTTTGAGCCCAGCTTTGCAATGAAGACTTGGAAGTAAACACCCGTGAGTGGATAACAGTTTTGCATATTATGAGTTTCACTCTCGATCCGGTTTGTGAATGTCATCAGGAGGTTGGCAGGCCTATGTTATTTAGCTATGCGTGTAATGCGCGAATTGGTGGGCGGGGCTAAACCGGCCGTGTTGAAGTAGGCGTTGATCTTCTTCTGCGGGGGTGGTGTATTATCCTCTTTGACGTCATACTTCCCCACTTTGAAAAAAACGAGTCGTTTGCTGAGCCTGGTGTCAATTAAAGCTTTTATTGGACTAACAAGGACGTTTTCAGTTCTGAAACTTACAGGAAATTCTTATAATATGATGACCTCTTAGATGTCAAAAGCTCAAGGAAAATTTGATTCCCTTTAAGATCAAATGAAAGTTGTTTAAATAAAGGAATATTTCCACCCCAGATACATTTATTAAAAAATATGTGGTTTTATCATTGTAAATGAGTCATTCTGTGTTTGAGTGCAATGTTCGGATAGCATTGTACTGTGTAGACAATAATGGGTGGTGATATATTGCAAAAATAACATTAAAAATCGAATTAAATCAGTCCGATGATTCCTCTGGCAGTAACTTGAGCTGTGTGCTACTCATGACAGGGGTTAACGCGTCTGAAGATCGCGGCTCACTGAAAGTGTTGTTACACAATAAAAGAAAAGATGACCTAAATAGTAAGGTGTCATGTAAGTCTAAACAAACAGTTTTAAATATTGTCGTTTATTGTTAAGTTTAACTAAATTAGTTTACTTTTCTTCTTAAAACTGGCATCCATCTATTGACAATAATGCAGGTGGAAATTCCTTTACGCTAATCGAAGCAGGATTGGCAGTCATGGGTGGGGCCTGTTTAATGTGACATCACATTGCATAGAAACGGAACGGCTAATTTTGTGACACTGCTTATGATTTATGGGGATTAATAAAAGGAGCGAGTGTATTTTTTATCAAAATAGGGTGGTTGTGTGGTGTACACACACACTGCCGTGCCGACACACATTTATGTTCAAACTGTTGGCCAATTTTCCATTGGCTTTTGGATTATTGCAGAAAACAAGCTCTGACCTGCAAAAGTTCAGGATTCTTACACATTTTATTCATCGTGATAATCTTCACAAATAAACAACACAAAACACATTTTCCTGAACGTTTATGTTAGAGTAGTTTGTAAGAGCTTGATTATAAACACAATGAGACTGTAAAAGCAGACTAGTAGTAAGTAGATGAGTTTACCTGCTCAGTGCGATTTATCCAACAACCTTAACCGCTTGTTTGCCTTTTGTAAGACAAGTTAAAACTTGGGGTATTATTACTGATGCATTTTATGTTGTAAGACATGAAAGTATCTTGAGCTTGTTAATCACACTTTATTTTAGGCATTTAACCAAGGGTGATGAAATCGGAAGTGCTAAAATGCTAGCTTGTTTCTGGGGTTTGGCCTACAAAAATATCTAATCTGATGCATTTTAGTATTGTCTATAATTTAAGAATTCTAAAGAAATTTTAGAGCTGGGAAGAGTCATTGCAGACAGCAATCTGTTCACCTTCATTATCATAAAGGATTATATCAACATCTGAGCTTATGAAAACACTAACATATAGACTGTTGAGTGTATTATGTGGTAATGAAGCTACTTTGAGTAGAGGGTGGTATTGTAAAAACTGCTTTGGTTGAGTAGAGGCATTGTAAATGTTTAGTAAAATTGATCAGGTTTGAGTGCAATTATTGGACAGAGAACGAGGAAGGGTATGTCAAATGTTCCCTATCTCTGAAGAGTCTGAACACTAATAATGCAGGATTAATTGGACAGATTACATCTACTTTCTGCTGGTTTGTAAGATTCATTGTATTCATTTTTAAATATTATTTTGCTTAAATATCAGATCAGTGACTGGTGCAGCTACAGATAGAGGATGCCAGTCTGTAGATGAGTGAGAAGCTCTGTGTGTGTGGAGTGCCCATCTGGTAGTCTCTTCCTTCATTCCGATGAGAAGAGAGTGATGATCTGTGGCAGAGACAGAGACTGATTCTTTGAGACGTACGTACTGAGAACAAAAATATAACAGCTCAAACAAACCAGAGAAAGCAGGAAGTGAGTAAATTTGCACTGGCATCAACTAATTCAACTCCAAAAGACGTTATAAGACTGAGACAGACCACTTGTACATGTATGAATGGAGAAAAACAGATATGGTGGCTATAGTCCCACTTTACAATTTTTGACGGGGGCTTCGCAACTCAACATGTAGCTGTTAAATGAGCCAATCGCCTCTTAGTTTACTGCTTGTTCCTTAGCTGGACCAGTCAAAAAAGAAAAAAAAAACGTTTTGTGTTGATTTTAAAAGTAAAAGTTGTTAGAGCTGTATTTCTTTGGCTGGAAATAGCTTCCTAGGGGGCATTACGAATATGGCGGCCGCCAAGTGAAATGACTTGCCTTCAAGGGACTTTAGCCTTTCCTCAATATAGGCTTACGTTCTTATCTATTCTTGTGGACTTGTGAAACAACATCACTCGCTGCTCAAGTCAAGTGTTTCAATTAAAAGTTCTCATTAGCCAAGTATAGTGCAAATCCCCGGATGTGTTCATGATCAGATCTTTTTATCGAGGATGCATCGAGAGGTGGCTTGTGCGGACTTGAGTCAGCCAGGTATCCCAGAATGCATCTCGCACCAACCAGAAAGCGTCAATAGCAGAGGATAAATAACCGTGTAATATAAAAATACTACTGTTATTGTGTCACAAAATTTAGTTTTTTCAGGCGAGAATGTGGTTGTAGAATGCAAAGCTCAAGTCTGTAGATTATTGATAAAGATAGCACCTATTCACATTAACATTTATTAATTTTAGCTGACGCTTTTATCTAAAGCGACTTACAATTGATATGTCAGAGGTCGCACACCTCTGGAGCAACTAGGGGTTAAGCGTCTTGCTCAGGGACACATTGGTGTCTCACAGTGGATTCGAACCCGGGTCTCTCACAACAAAGGCACGTGTCTTATCCACTACGCCATCACCACCCCATTTGAAAATTTGATCTAGCGTTTTTGGCGTTCACTGGGTGCATAAGCGCTCATTAACCCTGCCTGGAACAGCCATACCTCAGCTAGTCCTTCTGAAGTTTGCCGCTGGCTCTGATGTCTCTGTAGTGGTTAAACATGAGAAATAATTCGTCTTGTATATGTCTAACGAGCAGTCTTTGGTCTCATGAATCTATCATTTGGGGTGGCAGTGGCTCAGTGGTTCATGTAGATTGTCTACAAACTGAAAGGTTGGTGGTTCAATCCCCGGTTCCAACTGACCAAGTGTTGAGGTGTCCATGAGCAAGACACCTAACCCCAGCTGCTCCCGACGAGCTGGATGGCGCCTTGCATGGCCGACACCGCCATCGGTGTGTGAATGGGAGGCAAAAGGTAAAGCTCTTCAGTCCACTTACCATTCACCATCATTTGTTCCCAAGCAAATTGTTTTGGCTGAGGGCAAAGTGAAATTATATGTATGTATATGTATATACGTATGTAATATGTATGTGTATATAGGCTGTTTAACTTTACTGTTGTAGCCTACTAGAGCGCTGACTTTGTACTGAATTGTTTGGTGGTCTTTATTTCTTATTTTTATAGTTTCTTATAGACCATTTTGCAAGATGTAAACAACACTGGTCCAGAAACACTTCCTGTTTCAGTTCGTAACTGTTTTCTTTATTTCACATGTAAAGAAAACATCTTAAAGATGTTTGTTTAACTTTTTGATTTAGTTTTGTATGTTCTGTTGGTTGTATTTTATCCCAGCTTTTATGTAGTATTAAAAAACTGAAACAGGAAGTGCTTCTAGACCAGTGTTGTTTACATCTTGCAAAATGGTCTATACCTTTTTACTTATATTTTTTTTAAATTGCTATTATTGATCATTAAAACTGACATTTAACAAAAAGGGACAGGGTTGTTTTGTCAAATATCATTTTATTACCGTGAAGATAATCAGAGTACATATTCACATATTGCCTAAAAAGCATATATTCATATTTTTAAAATGTAAACAAAAAGAGATAGGATTGTGGTTTATATTTGTTTTGTTATAAATATACATGCAGTGAAGAAAATCAATGTACGCATTGCCTGAACCACATTTGTGTAGCCATTAATGTTTAATGAAACGAGGCAGAGTGGTGTTTTATAACATATTTAATTTTATTGTTGCTTGAAATATACATACTGAGATAACCGCAGAGTCCAGAGCGAGCTGAGTGACACTATTGTAGAATTACCGGACTACTACCAAGGAGGCAACTCCGAACTTTGCGTACTTGGTGTTAAGAAACACCTCATGTCTCTGTAAATGTGGTTTCAAGACATTGTGCTAGGAACTTAGGTTCTTGCTGTATATGGGGAAACTTTTTCACAGAAGCAATTTGTAGTTGTCAATTTCAGGAAGCTTGATTGAAAAAATCCCAAAATCATTTACTCACCCTCATGTGGTTCCAAGCTTGCCTGTACAGTGAAAGTATATGGGGGTAAAAAACGTATTTGTTCCACAGAGGAAAAATAAGTCACACAGGTTTTTGGAGTCACATGAGGGTGAGTAAATGATGACAGTACAAGTTTCATTTTTGCGGTGAATTATCCCTTTGAGTGTTTAATTTTAATTGCTTTCTTTTTTAGTAAGCTTCCGATTTCTGTACACACTAAATTTTGGATTGAATATGCAATCTTTGCATTCAGCCCAAATCTTTATCCACAAAGCTTGCACTTAAAATATTCCTGCTGACATCTTTTTTTCAATATTGCTATGATGTAGATTTGTCACACTCTGAAGCGCTACTGTGCGTACATGTGTGTGTGCTCCAGTGCTTACCATCCTCTCTTGTCTATTCCAGCTCCACCCCCCACTCTGCCAGTTGGATGGTGTTCAAGACGGCAGACGTTGGGAAGGTATAGAATAAACCATTGTCATTAGGGGGTGCACACATTCTGACACAGCTGTGATGGTCTGCTTTATGGCGTTTCATTGACTAGCTGTTTTCCAGAACTACACTTAGTACTATTACTCACAAAAAGATCAGCAGCATAGCTACACAGTTCTGAAGAGGAGAGAAGGAAACAGTTAATGCATGCGTCAGCATCATTTCCTCCCAAAGAAGAATGACAGCAGGAGAAAACAGTATTGTGTATGTGCAAAAGAGTGCTGTTCAGTTTGATCTGTGGTGTTCAGGCAGGATTTTGATGAGAGTAGTTCTGATTGAATCAGTACACAGAGAGATATTCTGCGAACACTGAGCAGATTTACACACACTCGCACAAGCACACTAACAGATCGTGCACACTGCACTGTGAGACCGCAAAAAGCTCTTTTACCTCTTTTTTTAATATATATATAGTCAGTCATTCAACAACATCTCAATTAATGAAGGAATATCTGCTCTCTTCTGTTTATTTGCCAGGCAGCTGTGTTGGGTTTTGGGAAGAAGAGATCGATTATGGAACTACAAAATTTACAGGAAGCACTCAAAGTGGAAATCCAGATCCATCAGGTATCCCTACCGCCCTCCCCGCACACCATAGGCATAGGGATTGAGTGTGTAATTGTTGCAGATGCAGTACCCTCGACGTCCTCTAGAGGCCGTCCTGCATCGACATGTGTCACCCACTCCTAAGAGTGCTAAAACTTTCTTCTCTTTCTTGCAGAAACTCGTGAGCCAGATGAAGCAAGATCCACAGGTGCGTTTCCCTCACTGAACATGTCCCTCACTTACGTTACTGTTTGATCGATACGCTCTCATATATCGGCCACTGGACTAGTGTATTAGGGAGGAGTGTGTGTGTTCTTTGTACAGAATGCAGATCTGAAGCTGCAGCTCCGTGACCTGCAGGCCAAGATCACAGCGCTGAGTGAGCGGCAGGTGAGAGCGGCTCTCTGAGAGAACACCTGCTGCCATATCAGTGTTCTCTACGAACGTACACATGTCTTGATGAGTTCAATTACTTTGGGTCTTAAAGTCTTTACCTCCTTGTGTGTCCTGAGAAAAAAAAAAAAAGAGGCGATCGTGTTTGGTTATGAAACCTGTTACATCATGGCATTGTTTTGTGTTGTACTGTGCTGAACATTTGTGGTGTGATTTGTGCATGTGGTTTTGTGTTGCCAAAGGAACTCTTTGCCAACACACAAACATGCGCAAATCTATTCTCCCCCTTTTCTTTGACATTTCTGTAGCTGATGATTAATGTCTGGGGAAGATCATGTGGCGTACTGTTGTTCGATTGAGCTAACTGTACAGAACTCGAAGTTCTGTGGAGGAGATGGAGAAAGATGTGTTGTAGATTGCTGGCAGTGGCAGCAGAGATGAATTTTAATTAGCATCTTAATGTAACAGAATAAAGCAGCCGCCACCAACAGGGGGGAAAACCCACCTGACATCATCTCTCCTTCTGCAGAGAAGTCGGCCCTCTCAGAGCTTCAGAAATGTATCAGCCTGCAGCACTATTTAATAAAGTGTGCAGCCTTCCTCGCTCAAACACATTCGGTGTCCGGTGGAATTCTCCCAGATCTAGGAGTATGTGAGTCTAACAGATGGTGGAGGAAGCCTGTTAAAGCTATAATCAGCGAGAGGACTGTGCTGAGGGGTTGTGTTCATATTCATTAATGTAACTGTCACTATGTCTTCACTGGTTACAGAATCAACACATACTCGGTTGAACACAAACAAGCTGTATTGCACATTTGTAGCCTGCATTAAGGAAAGTCTTAATGCGGTAAACTTTTGATATCTTCCTCCTTCTGTCTTCTCTTTATGATTGTTATGGATCCATACTCTTTTAATGTTGCTTTGTGTACACGTGGTCATGTGTGTATGTCTGTGCAAAGTTTTTGATGCTGAACTGTAACACAAACAGTGAATGGCTTCAAATGAATTGCATTCAGAGTACTCGAGGAATGATCATGTCATTTAGAATCACATTGTGTTTTCTCACTGTAATTTCTCATTTGCACAGTTATAACAGCTCAATAAGTGTGCAAGTATGTTTGTTTATTATCAGCTAGAACTTTTATTTTACATTGCTGTACATTTACTTAAGACTTCCATTTTTATTTCATGTTCATCATCATGTAAGTTACTAAAGAACCTGCCACACATCACTAAAGCATTTCTATTTTAAAATTGTGCTTAAGAGTATTTTGGGTTATTATGCAAATGTAGGTGTGTTCTTATGAATGCTAATGATCGGATGGATGTATCATAAGTTTAAACATGATCATTTCACTCTTTAAATGTGAATGTCTTTGTCACTGGCAGCACCAAATGGAGTATAATTAATGGCGTTTCCTAACAAGTCTTCTATCTGTCATAGTTTAGACTCTTAAAAGGATAGGTCAGCCAAAAATGATTTATTTAAAACAATCCTTTACCTGTATGACTTGCTTTCGATTGCAGAATACAATTTGTTTTAAATAATTTTTCAACTGTTTTTGTTCATACAATAAAAGTAAGTCAATAAGGTGAAACCACATGAAGTATTAGAAGTATATAGAAGGGAGTATTTCAACAGAAAAAAACACATTTACTACTTGAGAACAAAAACGCAGTCAGTCAAAATATTATCCTTATACAAAAACAGAAACATTTTAAATTAGGATACCCGTATAATGGGTAAAATAATACAATTAATCTATAATACTTACATTTCTTACTTCAATATATCTGTCGTTAATTATTTGAAAAAGCAAATGCAGTGATAGTCCTTTCAGCTGTAAACTGGACGTGGCTCGCTAATTTGCTAAATGTTTCATGCTGTAATGCCATAATCCGGTTTCTTAAAACAATTTAAAGATATTTTTGAAGGTGGATTACTGTTGGCCCCCTGCCTGAGAGAGAAAGAGACATAGAGAGAGTGAAGTTTAGGTTTAGGGATTCCATGTTCTCATTTGCTGTCAGTGCAAATGGGCCAAAATCCAACACGTCAACAGCAGGCAGAAAGAGAGCATGAGTGAGAGAGACTTCAGTGCAGGTATGAGTGACAGAACACACAAAAAATGAACAGGCACTTGTTCTCTCTTTCTCCCTCAGAAAAAGGTTGTGGAGCAGTTAAGGAGAGATTTACTGGTGAAACAGGAAGATATGAAGCTGCAGACGCTGCAAGCGGATGGGCAAACGTCTACCTTGCTCATCACACAGACGCCTCTGCCTGCTGCCAGCCCCACTACTCCACAGGTAATCCACAGGCTGCGTCAAGGGATTTCTTTAAAGACAAAGCCTTGTCTTTGCTGAACATTTAACAGATTAGTTCACCAAAAACTAAAAACATGTTTTTCACAAAAACTCAAAAGGGATAAAGGCCTGGGCTGTCAAGTGCCAATATTGCAACAAAAACACCCTAAAAGTGTTGTAAAAATTTAATATAATTCTGAAATTGTTAGTATTCTGTTACTTTTATGTGCGATTAGGGTAATCATTGAGGCTTTCAAGTCACAAAAGCACCATAAAAGTGACATTTATACTCTACATATACATTATCACAGTGACATTTTTCATTATAAGGAGATGAGTGGCAGATCATTAAGTTCAGTAAGAAGAACTTGCCTATAAAAGAAAAAAATATATGATTTTTCCAACGGTGTGTGTGTGTGTTTGTGACCCCGTAGAGCTCGGTGTCTCCTGTCATTCCTTCAAAGACTCTACCTCTGGTACTGAGAGCTGCCACCCCCTCCTCACCTATCATCATGACACCAGCGCCTACTATCACCGTGGTGACAACCCTAGGCAACACACTCCTTGCGGGCCCTCCTAGCTCAGATCCTCAAAAATCCCCAGTAAACTTCCAGCCGGTCATCCAACCGACCAATCAGGGAGCAGAGCCAGTACGAGTCATATCCAATAGCACCATTGTTGTAAGTATTTCTCAAAGCTGTTTTGAGAGTTTTGTTTTCTTATTCCCTCTTGTTTTGCAAACTGCATATGAAGTGGGAAGAAATTTCAGGCTGTCTGATTAAATTTAGACCCCAAGAGCTCAGGCTTGGTTCTTTAGGTTTTAGACACTATTATTCTATTACATCTGTGGCTTAAATGGTTAAAGGTACTTGTTGTAGGATGTATGTTGGACAGGTTAGTTAAGTAAGGGTGTCTAAATGGGCGGTCTTGTCACAGGTGCAAGCTGCTTCCCAAACAATCAAAGTTCCTCAATTTGTCCCACCAACCAGACAGACAACTCGACCAGCCACTCTACCGCAGGTTTGTTTCCATAGAAACCCTTCACACCCTAATGCTTGGCTGGGCTAGTGAAAAACCCTAAGTGCTAAGTGTTACTGTATATCTATGTGTCTTGGTTGTTTTTTTGTTTGTTTTTTTAAATGCTGGTGTTACTTTTGTGTGTGATATTTTCTTCTTGCCCCATCTTGTTTTCTTGCTCTGGATTTAATTTCTATGTGCTTGCATAGTTGTGACATTTGCAATTCCTGCTTTGGCTGTTGCTTTTGACCCTACAGTAAAGTGATCCTTATCCCTGATTTCTCTCCAGCAGTATTCTGTGCTATTCTCTGTGGTATATGTTATGTGTGTACAAATATGCTAGGGTTGGTAGGTATAACCAAAATCACATAGCGGTATAGCCTATACTACTATTGAAATGTTTTGGGCTGGTAAGATAAGGTCCCTTATGCTCACCGAGACTATATACAGTATATATTTGGTCATAATACAGTAAAAACAGTAATTATCGTCAAATCTTATTCGTTTCAAATAACTGTTTTTTACTTAAGTGTATTTTAAAATAGAATTTATTCCTTTGATGGCAAAGCTGAGTTTTCATCAGCAATTCCAGTCTTCAGTGTCACAAGATCCATGAAATATTTCTAATGTAATGATTTGGCGCTCAATTTTTTATTATTATTATTATTATTATATCAGTGTTGAAAATAGTTGTGCTGCTTAATATTATTGTGGAAAAGACAAGCATTTATTTGAAATATAAATATGTTGTAACATTATAAATGTCTTTAATGTCGCTTTTGACCAATTTATTGTGTTCTTGCTGAATAAAAGCATTCAAACACATCTTACTGACCCCAAACTTTTGGTAGTGTATATCATAATATATTTGTTTAGCTGAAAAAGATATATCAATTCAGCAAATTACATCCTTACAAATTAAAGGTACTGCATTTTAATTTACTTTCTCTTCATTTTATTTTTTATTATTTTCTCTCTTTATTCAGAATTTGATGGATGAAAACCAGGAGATAAGCTTATGCAAAATAAAACATTAAAACATTATTTTATTGTAACTTATTATATTAAACAATAATAGTAAATAAGTAGACAACTTTTATTTGCATTGGAGTGGAGCTGGTGTTAGTGGTGTTGTGTAATAGTAAGGAACATATTTGTGGTTTGTTGTATACTGGAGTCTAAAAGTGAAAGTCTGCTGATGTTAAACCGCTGAGTTGGGCATCACTTTCCTGTTAGTCATTTTTTTTCACTACTTGGTTCCACCTTTTATTTCTCCATTTATTCCACAAATAATTGTCTTTTTTTCCCTGTGTGAGCAGGTCAGGCCAAAACCCCCAGCGTCTTTGTCTCCAGCTGCTGGTCAGATCTCTGTGCAAACCTTGCAGTCACCGGTGTTACTGAGCACTGCCCTCCCTTCCTCTGGTCACGTCCAGCAGATGCGTATCCTCAATGGCCTGCCCTGCCCCAACAGCTCTAACAACACAAGCATCCTGATCTCCCCATCTACACACATGCCACCGTCAGTGCAGACATGCACGCAGCAGTTACCTCACAACAGACCGAGCTCTGACAATACGGTGAGGGAAATTTAATACTTTATGCATTTAAGTTTCCTATTAACCCTTGTGTGGTGTTCATATTTTTGATGATGTTTTATAAACAAGGTTCGGGAGGAGCACGTTCAAATCAATCATTCCAATCAACTCGTCACCAAACAATTACATGTCTACCCTATCAGCACGAGAGGAAGCATATATAAATATCCAATGTCAACTCACCTAACATTCCTTGACAGTTTCAGCATCCCTCCACCACCCAGCACGCCAAATATGCATTTATTCTTTCTGACTTATTTGTAAGTGCGAACTCGTGAATTATTCAGCCAGTGTTCGTGGGTCTGGTGGACCCGCTGCATTTTTGGGTTTCTAATTCAACACAATCAAACAATTTGATGTTAAAATACTCAACAGATGTTTCCTTCATCCCAATTACAAGCAATACACATTGAAGAATTAATGACAGAGGGTAAAATGTGCGGGACTGGTAGAGCAGGCGGTAGGCGTGCATGAATTTTGCAGCAATGTTGTGACCTTTTGTGGGAACGTCAGGTGCAGAAACACAAAATTCCCACTCTCACACACACAATGACACGAGGAGGACAGAGTAAAAGTACACAGGACCTACAGTTTCCACACCTTTATTAACCTCGGGTCCAGTGGACTCGAACATCTTGTGTGTAATGTAAATGTGAAGGGGGGAATGTTGAAAATGTGTTCTGATATATATTCTTCACATTAAACGAGCCAAGGCCAATGAGTCTGAGTTTGTAAAAATAATTAATTGTATCATTTTTCTTTTGAGAAAAAAATGAAAATGGGTCCAACAGACCCGAACACCACACAAGGGTTAAACATTAATTACATGGAAAGTTTCTTTAAGGAAAGTCAGTTCACTCAGCCATATTGGTCCATCTCCTTCTAATACTGTCTAGGTGCACTATCATTCAAACGTTTATCTCAAAAGACAATATGAAAGACAAATGATGATTTATATTTCAAAGAAAGGCAGTTCTTTTAAAATGTATATTCATCAAATAATCTTGAAACAAATGTGTCATGGTTTCCAAAAACATATAAGCAACACAACTGTTTTCAACATTGATAAAAAGTGAAAAAGTGAAAGTGACATGTGAAGTCCAAGTATGGTAACCCATAATCGAAATTTGTCCTTTGCATTTAACCCGTCCAAGTTAGTGCACACACATTAGGAGTAGTGAACACACACTCTCTGCAAACCATGATACACACCCGAAGCAGTGGGCAGCTTCGGGTGCATATCATGGTTTACTGTGGTGCCCAGCAGGGAGCGATTGGGGTTAGGTGCCTAGCTCAAGGGCACCTCAGTCATTTACTGCCGGTACTGGAATTAAACCAGCAACCTTTGGGTTACCAGTCAGACTCACTAACCATAAGCCCATGACTGAAATGTTTCTTGAAAGCACTAAATCAACATATTAGAATGATTTCTGAATGATCATGTGACTCTGAAAACTGGAGTAATGGCTGTGGAAAAGTCAGCTTTGCATCACAGAAATAACTTGCGTTTTAAAATATATTACATAATATGATATGTATATTACTTTGTTTCTTCTTAGATACCCGCAGTAGAATATGCGACAGAGCCAAAGACTTCATTGCTCATCTCTCCAGACACGCCTACACACACTTCTCCTCCACTGTCCTTACATACACCATCTTCACCTGTTTCCACCAACACACACACTCCTTCCTCCAAACATCAGGAGAGCCCTCTGGTAAAGTACTTTTATGTTTATAATGAAGATAATGATGAGTATGATGATGTAAATTATGATCATTACTGAGATAAGGACACGCATTCTTTCCACAGAAACTGGCCTTCATGTTGTCTCTGGGACTGGTCACGCGCGACTATTTAGAAGGTCAGGAGAATGAAATGTGTGTGTGCATGTTTGTGTGCGTGAATGAATGTGTATTGACCTTTTCCACTTTGTTTGTGTAGAGATTCAGAGCAGGCGTCAGGAGCGCAAGAGACGCACAACAGCAAATCCAATATATAGCGGAGCCATGTTTGAACCAGAGGTACAAACATACACATGCAATTAAATGAGCTGTTCAATGCAAACAGATTGGAGATATCTGATGGAATGAACCGTGCTTGTGTGTGTGTTTCAGCGGAAAAAAAGTTCAGTGTCGTATCTGAGTTCCATAAACCAATCCAGCAGGAAGAGAGGTGAGTTCAGCCAATCACACTTTCTCTCTGTGCCTATATTAGATACTCAGTGTGGCTTATTGAGGAGAAGTTTGTGATTGCTGTTTTAGTACTGATAATTTCTCCAAAATGTATTTGCAAATGGATAACAAAACAGTCACAATTGCAAAGCAGCGATATGAAAAAAAAAAACCCATCTGGAATTACCTGTGTAATTCTAATCCATCTAAATTAACTGTGTTTACTTCTTTTCTGTGTTACCTGGTCTGAGAAATTCACATTTATTTGTCAGCAAAACTTTTGACATCTCCAGAGCTTTTGTGAAAACAACAGATTATACTTTTGCGCTTTTGTATCCCCGCCCTTGGACTGTTGGGTCGACAGAGGGCTATTAACAAAACATTGTAAGCTCTGATAAACTTTTACTCTTCTTGCACCCGGGAACTATACAAGTCGACACCATTATGACTAAAAGTTTGCTAAGAACTAAAGCAAGGCACTATTTGACTCGGGTAAGCATATCCATAGCAGACAGCAACATGCCCAATGCATTATTGGCATTGAAATCACCTAGAACACCCTAGAAAGTACATAGAAACACTAAAAAAATATTTAGAAGGCTTTAGCAACTGCATTACATTAGTATTTTCTTAAGAAAATATAAAAATTTGGTTTGAAATGTTTCAGGTTGAAAACTAAATGTAAACAAGCTTTTCACAACACTGGTTAGATATTATCCATATCTGTGAAGTGTGACTTAACATCCACTGTGAATTGTCTAATTTTATAGCGGTAAAAATCTGTAGCCAGTCATTATTCAGTGCTTTAAGCCCTTTTTCTACACCTCTCATCCTGAACTGATCCACTCTTCTTTACTCCCATCAGTCAGACTCTCTCGGTCTCACACAAGCACACATTCAGCAGTAATGACTGTTTGATTATGTAATGTGCTTACAGGCACTCTGCTGTGGAGTGGCCCTGGAGTGTATGTGTGAGGCAGGAAGAAATGACCCTGCAGTGTGTTAAGTGGGATAATGACTGTCTTCAGGCTGCTGTAAAAGTGTATACATTAGTAAAAGACTCAGACTATGTTCTCAGCCTTAAAAGTTTTCAAATAAGGCAAGTTGTGCACATCTTAAAGGTGTGACAAAACCGCATCATTAGTGTTCCATTTGAACTTGTATTGGAAAGACTAGACTACAAAAACACAACATTACAGTTTGCCAAAGATTATAATTTTTTTGATACTTTTTTGATAGTTCTTCAAAAACAGCTTTCACTGTTGCAAATTAAAGGAATAGTTCAAATGAAGTGTTATCATTACTCACCTGTTCTAAACCTGTATGACTTTCTGCTGTGGAACATGATAGAAGATATTTTAAAATGGTTTCAATTCTTTTTGTTATAATGGAAAGTCCTCAGGGTCCTGAACAGCATTGGACCCCATTGACTTTCATTGCATAGACAAAAAAACACTGTGACATTTTAGATGTTCCTTGAGGCAAATATCTGTCAGAAAGTGTAGTAGGTGAGCATTCAAGTGATTGAGGACAGAATCAAAATAACTCGCAGTAAAGCCAATATAAGTCTTTTTGATAAACAAAGACTGTTCCTGTGTCATATAAAAACTGTAGGCTATATATTTGGTTGGAAAGCCGTGTTGGATCTTAAAGGGATAGTTCACTTTGAAATTAATTTTTGATATGTTTTAGCTTACCTCAAGGGCATCCAAGATATAGGTGTCTTAGTTTCCACAGTATTTTCAATTTTGACATTTTCCGTTCAAACCGTTGTTGTCTGTCAGTCATAATGCAGTTTTAGGGGGTTCACCTCAAAAAGCATGCACAGAGAAGTCCAAATTAAACATCATTTAATGACTCGTGAATGTAAGTACACATTGATGGCCTAAGACACAAAACGAGCGGTTTGTGTGAGAAAACGAACAGTATTTGTATCTTTTTAACTCTTGTTAACAGCCGTCGAACTGATCTGAATCAGATGTCCAACTGAACCGAACTGAACCGTCTCCAGACGTTACGCCGGAAGTGATCTCTCGCTCGGTCTACGTCACGCATTGTTTACACGGAGTTTTACCTTTCACTAAACATATTTAGATATACGGGAAATCGCAATGGAAGACGATTTTGATATATCTAAATATGTTTAGTAAAAGGTAAAACTTCCGAAATCTCTGTGTAAACAATGCGTGACGTAGACGCGTGACAGATCAATTCCGCCGTAAATTCTGGAGACGGTTCAGATCGGTTCAGTTGAACATCTGATTCAGATCAGTTCGATGGCTGTTAACAAGAGGTAAAAACTATATAAATACTGTTCGTTTTCTCACACAACTCGCTCGTTTCGTGAGTCATTAAATCATGTTTAATTTTGACTTCCCTGTGCATGCTCTTTGAGGTGGACCCCCTAAAACTGCATTATATGACTGACAGACAACAACGGTTTGACCAAAAAATGTCAAAATTAAAAAAAAATGTGGAAACAAAGACACCTACATCTTGGATGCCCTTGAGGTAAGCTAAAACACATCAAAAATTAATTTCAAAGTGAACTATCCCTTTTAAATTGATCTTGAATTCATTTGGGACCAAGGCCAAATATATATATTTATATATATATGAATGACGTTGAAACTTTGTGACCATGTGTAATGTAAAGATTCTATTAGTTCTTGTTGGTAAAAGACATGCTCTGTCGATTTGCTCTGTTAATGTCCAGTGCACACATAAATGTGCATAATCTGTTGATTTATGACGTTAAATACGTCTTAACATTTGACAGCATCTGTGTTAGCTGTAGATGAAAAGCTTCTTGATGCCTGGATAAGCTTTTTTAAATCGTTACCCTCTGATCCTTCTTTGTTGTTGGCATTTCTTATCCCCATCCGCCTAAATGTAATGCCTTCTGCCTTTATCAGCTTATTTGAGGCCAGCTTTTGGAGAATGTGTTGTTACCCAGCATGCAGTGCTTCCTTTTGTAATCTAACGATGCTCTCTCCCTCCCAACCACCATCACACCACCCCCACCTGCTCCTTCCTGCTACCCTAGCCAATGAGGACAGCTTGTCAGAGGTATGCTACACCAATGTTTTGTCTTCCTTTTCTTTTCTTTTCTTTTTGTGTTTTGTTTGTCCTTTATTTCATCTCACCCAGGTCGCCTTTCTAAAAACTGCAGTATTGTGGAGCGGGGGCCCCTCCCCCCAACCACCAGCAGCCATCATTCTACCTTCCCAGACCTACAGCGGCCCACCGCGGGCAGCCCATTCTCCCCTGCCCTCTCACTCACCCTTCCATCACATTCACCCTCACCCAGCCCCAGCTCAGCAGGGGATGTAAGTAGCTGTGATAGTCCACTACCGTTACTGAGACACAATTCAGACTTCCCCATCACTGTGTTCACCATGCTCACCAGTGACAGCTAGTGGTAGCGGAGGTGAATTAAGAGTCTCCGGTAACTGAGAAACATTTATATTAGAGATTCATTGCCATTCACTCTCGTTCTTGTAATTCATTACATTTCTTTTTTTTTTTTGTCCCATGCCATGACATGCAGGTTATATTCTTCCGATTTAGAAACTTTTAATATGAATGGCTGTGTAATTGCTATGTAAAATCTATTAAAATAGAGGCAAAGAGCCGTTTACCCTGGATCCACCAAAAATATTCTTTTTTTTAAAACGAGCACAATTTAGAAAGGAAAAAAGCCCCTTTCACAACAAGCCTGGTAAATTGCCGTAAAATGACCAGAACAACTTTTTCACGTGCTGTTCACACTTTTTACTGGTAAGATACCATTTGCATATCAGTACCATTAAACTCTGTCATGTTAGTCATTGGAAATGACACCTTTGATTCATCCACCTGGATGAGAAGCACTTTAGTGTCATTTTAGTTACATTTTGTTTTACTTCTGAGTGACCGGTGCAAGGAGATGATCACACAGAACGTGGTTCTGCTCTTAAATACACGAGGATACTGCAGTCACTATAGTACTAGGACATTCAGAGAATAGAAGAAGCCAGGGTCTCGAGTGCGAGATGTGGCGCAATGGTCAGATGTTTGTGTAGTGCATTTTTATGTCGAAAAGCAATTAAAAGCAGCAGAACTTACTGTAAACAGCTCCGATAGAGCTTTATGATTGGCCCAAAGCAGACTTCTTATGTCAGCATGTTCTAACTTTGTACGTTCTCATACCGGTAATCTTTATTATTTGTTCACACACAGCATCATACTGGTAATTTGCTGGTATTGTTACAACTTCTCATAAAGGAGAGAGGGGCTAATAAGTATCAGGTTTGGATTGATGAGTCAGTATTTGACAGCTGATGTCATAAGATGGAGTGGGCAGCGTCTCATATTTGATTCTTGCTCACATATAAATCATCTGCTCAGGACCCCTGATTTGATCCAGGGCTACACAAACTTGGTAATATTCACCAATATTCACTCTAAGTACACCGAAAACCATAAATTTGCGTCAAGACTGCTCAACTTTTTAAGTTTAGGTAGCCTCATGTCTTGATTCATGCCCTTCATTTGTTTTCACTACTATGCATTCATTTTCACATTCATTTCACATTCACATTCATTCATTTTAATACAGTTGTGTACTTCAGTACCATTCAGTACATGTTTTCTTTAGATTCTGCAGAAGGAAGATGCCATTGAGTGGCCAGGGACTCTTGCTATTGTCCATTCCTACATCTCTTATAAAGCAGGTGAGAAGTTTTACATACAACTGATGATACCTTGAACAGTCAAACTGCATGACACAGAATGTGAACGAAACCACACACAAGCCACGTTCAGTGACACTGCTGATGTGTTATCTGGTCCGTCCATGTATTCGGGCTGGGCAGAAAAATGCAAGTCTTCCTCTGTGTCGAAATCCTTAGACATGTTTGCGAAGATTGTTTTGCTTACAGCGTGCGTCTCCCTTAGATTGTAAACAAAGCTCGGGCGTACCAGATAACACGTCAGCCTTACGTCACTGAACGCGGATTGACAACAGATCCGGAAGAGAATACAATGCTGAATAAAGTCGTAGTTTTTGTTATTTTTAGACCAAAATGTATTTTAAATATAAAACAACTCTGATGAACTGTAATAAAGTGTGCGCTCTACCTTTCATTACTGCCGTGACCAGTATTGATCTGTAGACTGTAAGCTGGATCACAAACACAACAGTTGGTATTGATTGATCCATCTTCGAGTAACAGCTTTGTACGGACCCTCGTTCACAAAGCAGTCTGGTTTAAAAATGATTTGTGCAAACATAAATGCACTTAGGTAGATTGGGGGGCGCATTCCCTTCAAAAACAAAAGTAATCCACTGCGTTTTCAGCAGCTCAGATGTTGGGAGTAAATGACGACTGCGGTGTACATTCATCCAACAACAACACACCTCAATCGCATAGAAGACATTCTTGTGTACAGCTGCTCTGGCTTCGAAAAACAATGGTGGTGTGTGTACAGCTCACTCAGGGCGGGTCTATGCTAATACGACAGTGTCAGTCAAAAGTTGTGGGTGGGGCTTGTGCAAAAAGACGTCACATTGCCCCGAATCTAAAAACAGCTTGTTCGGAGACTGTCTGCTTATGATTTATGTGCATTAAAAAAGTGTGCATTTTTATTTTTATCATTATAGGGTGGTTTGTACACACTGCCAACACACATTTACTGTATTTTCAATGTAAAAGTGAATTTTGCATGATAGGTGTCCTTTTAAAATAATGTAGAATCATTAAGAATTAACATGATCGGACCAAGAGCATATTTATTTATAAATTAACATTATACCAAAATGGACAAATGTGTGAAAAAGATATATCTGACCTGCTCCCTGACCCCCTGGATATCACTGTGTCGCTCCACAATCATGGTTGGTCTGTCTTGCAAAGTTTCTACAGAGTTGTTAAAAAAATCCTGTGGGGGGAAATGAATGGGATGTTTACTTCCAGAACCCGACTTGTGCCTTCTGTTGAGATTTACGTATAAACTCATTTCCCCGCAGCTAAAGAGGGCGAGAAAGATCGTTTGAAGACATGGAGCACAGAGCTGCGGCAGGAGAGAGAGACACTAGAAGACCAAGTCGGACATCTCAGCAACTCTATAACGGTGAGAGAATCCTTAAGTTCATATCCTCCACTTTTCCTCTGCGCGATGAGTCATACCTCTGAAATTACAATCTACAATCTAAATGTGATGTTAATTCATCCCGTCCCGGCCCATGGTGCCGCCCACTAATGTGATTGACTATTGTCTATTGTGTTTACCCTTATACGGTTTCAAATTGTAACAGTAGCAAACCTACAAGAGTGGCCAGGTCATATATTTTGCACTTTAATATTCAAAGTCTTACAGTACTAAGTGGTATACTCAATAATGTGGTGTACTAAATAAACCCGCAAACCTGCTTTTGGTATTAAAAAAAGAAATTGCATGCAAATGTGTATTTACAGTATATACAGTATATTTTTAAATAAAATGAACAGATCAGAATCAGGTGGATTTTCCACAGCTTACATTGTCGGGAGTTTTTTGTCAACTGACATTTCTTTGAAAGATATTTTTCCAGTGTTTCATGAGCAGAACAATCCGAAAACACATTAAATAACAGTACAGCCCATTGAAGAGATGCAAGTCTATCCCTCACAGCCTCGCTTTCATTCTCATTGTAAATCAAAGATGGCGCTGTCGTGAATAAGGCGTATAGGCTGCTGTCCCACTTCTAACTGACACACAACTGATTACTTTCACCTTAGATATAACCTGTGTTTATGTAAACCCTGTGTGTATTTGACAGTATTTCCACAATCAGACGCAATTTAGATAAAGTCCCAGGTGGTGTTTGACAGGTTTTTAGTGTGTGCACGCCGCACGCTCAGTGTGTACGTGCACAGAAAAATAAAACGTTTGTCAGAACAGCACGTGTTTGAAATGTTTAACTGGCAAGGCTTTAAAGCAAATGCAAATAATAAACTTTTGTGATTTGAGAATAAGTGCGTTGTCCCATGAGTAACTCTACATGTGATGCGAATGTACGTTGAGTTAGAGGTCATGGTCAGGGTCTATGCTCAGACCATAGTTTGGGGGCCCCCCAGTGGCGGTGGGGCCCTAAGCAGCAGCTTAGTTCGTGTATAGGGAGGGCCGGCTCTGCGTACCTCCATAACTATATGATGATGAGATTTTGGTTGTACGAGTCAGCAGCACTGTGTCCTCTCTCCCTTCACAGAGATGTATGGACAGCAAGAACAGCGTACTGGCCCAGCAAAGAGAGATGGAGGCTTCGCTTGAGAAGATGAAAGGGCTGGTGCGTCTGATCAGAGGGATCCAGTTGTCTCCCTTCATCTGCCCTGGGGTCATGGCTAACGGAGAAATGTCCCACAATGGAGCTTCCAAAGCCAGCAGCTCCAGTGCGGTCACCACAGACACAAACAACAACACAAATACCGCAAGAAGCTCCTCAGAAGCTATGATTATAATTAGCCCCCTCCCAAACACAAGCGATACCTTAAACCAGATCGCCACTAATAATACCGTCGAGGCTGCAAGCGCAAAGAGCGATGAGGGCAGTGAGAACGCACAAATCATCAGCATGTCCAGAATCAGGAGCGAACCCACAAATACGAACGCCGCAGCTTTCAGCAATAACAGCAGTAACCAGGCCAATACCAATGGAACCATGCCCAGCGGGGAGGAGAGTACAAAAAAACATAAAAACAATAACAACAGCGACCTCAGCGTCATCCCACAGGGCCTCCTCGGCCCGATCGTACCCCTTACAGAAGTGACGGAGGGGGTAAAATAGCATTGACCACCCCGCAGCAGTTGGGGCCCAAAGCGTGCCAGTTAACAGTGTTGTTGTTTTGTGTTGCTGTTTCATCTCTTGTATCTATGAGGGAAAGAAAATCCATAGTGCCATTTACTACATGCAGGAAGGAGGTTCCTAAAGTACCAGCAACGTGTATGCTAACGTATGCACACCGAAGAGATTTCTACAAAGAATAATGATATAGAAAAGAGTAATAAAATTTAAAGATATCACACCATTGTGTGCCTGATACAGTTGCCATAGCACCTCGGAGTGGGAAAGCTTCTGAAGGCTGGATCGGGTAAAGGTCTCGTCCTGCTAGATGAGTAGTGCAGCTTCCTATCAGGTCCTGTAGCTCTGATCGAAGACATAAGATATGACGTGTCGAGGAGTTTAGTATCCGTTTTGTCTGTGAAACGCAGCCACGGTGCAGTTGTTACGTCTAGTTTTCTGTTGTGAAAACAGGTTCTTTATCACACTGACAGAAATACAGGTCTTCCAGGTGTTCTGCTGGAGGTTTAACTATTATCATTTGCATTTGTCTACTTTGTGGTGTTTTTAAAAAGCGAAAACAACATTTCTGTAAATATGTTTTGCTATTTTTACACACGACCTTATTTATAATTTTCTTCTTTCTTACAAAAATATTCCGTAGTTCTGTTCTGCCAAATAATCGATGCCACAGGGAACTATTCTTTTATGTTACTCTGAACATTAAATAGATATTTAAGAGTAGTAGAGTAGTATTTGTAGTGTCCGTCCTGAAGTGTCTGTGAGGTAAATTCTGACCATGCCTTATCTACTGACCAGATGTGATTTACTGACTGCGCAGTTCAAGCGCAATCACAGAAGGGAATGATTTGAGACTTCTCTCACGTCACTCTCTCTCTCCTTTTCCACACCCAGAAGTTTTTTTTTTTGTTTTTTTTTTACCCAGACTGTAGCAGGGGTCTCATGCCTTGTCCAACGACTTACGAGGAATCATGCAGTCAGAAATATCCCGTAAAACCGGTGTGCCAGCAACGTTATGCTTATGGGCCAATTTAAGGGCTTCTGTTCTGTATATCGTTTTACCACGCATGGTGTCACTTTACTTGGTGATAACACTGTTCCGTAAACCCGTCCAAAAGCACAACACATCAGGCGTACGTTATATACGTGCCTAGCGCAACTACTTCACCATCGTCTCCTAGGGGCTGTTCTGTTAACGCTTTACTTTCTTTACGTTTTGCATTTCTCCATTTTCACAGTGTGTGACTGCACATGAACAAGCACAGACAAACACCTGAGATACAGCCGGGGTGTCATGTGTCAAGATGACACTCTCATAGTGTTTTTAAAAAGCACAAGAAATAATCCAGAACACACAAGGGGTGCGTCGCTTTTGATAAAATACAGAAATATCTACAGTGTTTATATCTTCATTTCAGGTTTGTGGGTGTTTTCAATGCTGAACATGCAGCTCTGGCCTGCAGTAGCCTCTGTGTATTGGTTGCCTTAAGTTCTATAGACTATGTTTGGCTGTTTCATAGTAGTTTTATGACTTGTCTGTGTCTTAGTCAGTTTTTTCCGTAACAGAACCTACTTTGTCATACAGTGTGTGATCATTCTGGTTGTGTTAGTGAGGACAGTGCCTGCGCTGCCTGTAGTGAATCTGAACTCTGAAGTGCTTATGTCTTTTAACAATACACAAAATGAATTGCTGGTATGTTCGATCACGTTTTTTAATGAAAATACTTTACTTTTAGTTCATGATCTGGGTATCTGTCCTTCATTTTATAAGGCATCCAAGTTTTCAAGAGGATACTAGTGCTGAAAACTACTCTTACCATCTCTTTCTACGGCAGAAATAGGAAGAGTAGTAAGCGGTTCCGAATTCGGCTAATGTTTCAACGGTCACGGAAGTATTGACACATTTTGTCTGATGGAAGTTCATCACAATTGCGAAAATTCCCAAGTAACATGCAGAGAAGCTGCGTTCTGTTTGGCTTGTTTAATGGTATGTCAGGTTTCTCGGTGCATTTAAAAAATAAATAAAAGGGAAAAGAGCCCTTAAATAAATGCTCATCAGATGTGACATTTGCAAATGTCATCTCCCGTCCTTTAGAGCCATGAATCCTGAGGCCAGATGTGGTTAGTAGGACTAACAGAGCTTCTGTGACAGATGTTCTCTGAGATAGATGGGAATCTACGGTGTCTCCTCATTCATGTTCCTTACACATAAGAATTGGGTATTGTGTCCTGAAGTGTGTGAAATCTGATTTCCTCAGATATTATAGTGTTTACCGAGAGCTCAGGCTTTTGTTCACGTTTTCAACACGCATAGTAATGCTTCTTAAGAGTCACATTCTTACACCTCATGCTGTTACCTCATTCAGGTTGATGAACCCCTCAAGTAAATTTAAGGATAGATTATAACAACGTGAAAGTATCAGTTCTTAATCTATTGTCCTTTACTATAAATTAAAAACACAATTTACATCAATTTGTTGTATAAAATTGTCTAGATTATTTCATAATGGTTTTTGAAAGGGATGTGTATTGCTCTTTGGTTTCATTTTTTTTTAACATATTTGTATGTTTTGTTTCTTAATCTTGTGTGTTGCCTGATGTCCATTTACCTTTTCTCATAGAAGTCCATGTGTAAGTTATTTGAATATATAACTTCATGAATTCTTTCTGTTGAGGAGGCTGGTTATTACTGGAGCATTTGATCAATTTGTATTTATTTATTTTTACCATTTTTGCTAAATAAAATTGTAAATTAAAGTCTGTTTTTCTTTCCTTCTTTTCTTACATTAAGCAATAAATGGATATATCAACATGTATACTAATACATGTAAAGAATACAACCACAAAGCCATACTGTAACCCATTTTGGAAAAATTTTCTCCACAGAGTGAATTGTGCAAGCGCCCAGAAAATAGAAAGTCTAAAAACACCTGCCTCAAATGGAAAATATCTTATAATTGGTTATGTTCCTTCATGACATTTCAATATCAGAGGCACATACGAATGAAATTAGATCAAAACAGCATCAAAATACCAAATCACAAGACATAGATCATCTGCCAGACAGCTCATGTCATTTTAGGCACAACTTAATACTAGACAAGAATAAATCCAGTGCCTATAAATAATGCATTTAAGACTTTTCACACATAAAATAAAATTTAAATACAGAATGAATGCTGCGCTGAATGGCTGCTACTTACAGTAATAGTGATGCAAAAGCAGTACACTGAGCTCAAGTGGTCAAATGGATCCTTTGTTAAAGGATCTACTTTCTCTTAAACCAGTTTAATGCACAGAGAGTGGGTATCAACATTGCTTTGTTTTTTGGTCCGACACATCAGCTTCGAGCTCAGTCAGTGGCAAAAGTTCGAGTTGGGACTACCTGTTTGTCCGTTTTAACAGTCATTGTTTAGTGCTGCCAGTGGCACATTCATTACACACTGCAACTTTAAAGGGATAGTTCACTTTGAAATTAATTTTTGATGTGTTTTAGCTTACCTCAAGGGCATCCAAGATGTAGGTGTCTTTGTTTCCACAGTATTTTCAATTTTGACATTTTTCAGTCAAACCGTTGTTGTCTGTCAGTCATACACTGGAGGCTAAAGGGGTCCACCAAAAAGCATGCACAGAGAAGTCAAAAGTAAACATGATTTAATGACCCATAAATGTAAGTACACATTGATGGCCTAAGACACGAAACGAGCGGTTTTTGTGAGAAAACGAACAGTATTTATATCGTTGTGACGTCCAAGTGATCTGAATCAGTTGTGCTAGGGCTGGGCGATATATCGAGTTTGTACGATGTATCGTTATATTTTTTGAAACGATATGGAATGAGGCAATACCGTTTATCGATACAGTAGTTTGATACGAGCACATCTGAAAAATAGCGGAGGTTGCAGTGTGAGCTGCTGCAGTGAAAGTAGCTAGGCTACGTAGTACAATTTGTCCTAAACATGACACAAGCTTATATTAATTGCGTCAAAATCACTTTGATATAGTTAACAAGTTTAAGGCAGCTTGCCGCCCTGTCAAATGCTCTGACAGACACTGTTGCTGACTGACATATAACGTTACTTGCGCTGTTTAATGCGTTTGAGATGTGGTGCTTTCCTCAGTGCTCAACTTACATTTCACAGGTATATTCTCCATCTGTAAAAGTTAGAAAGTAAAGCAAAAATGTCCATTTCACAACAAATATGTCCATGTCAGAAGAGGACGAGTTTCTGCAAGTGAATCTCCGCTAAAATTCATGCTTCCTTGAACGAGCGCCGGCGCGCGCATGCGCGTGAATAGTACTACGTAGTACACAATAATTCTGACTAAAATAAACATATTGCTAAAATATTTGTTGTTGGAGAAAATAAATATGCCATATGTGGAATTTTAAACCTACAAGTATATATTTTTAATGAAAGTGAAAGTGATTATAATGGGGTAATCAAATGCAGGCTAATATAATTAGTTTGTGCTTTTGTTTTTATTTTCATTTTTAGTTTAGCCTTTAGTCAATATAAAAACAAAAGCTTTTTGCACATAATATATTGCATAGCCTATATTATATTTGTTTCCATATCCTTCAATATCAACATTGTTTGTAGATATCATTGGGCCGAATGTGAATATATAGGCTATATATATATATATATATATATATATATATATATATATATTTTTAAATATAAAGATTTTCTTTCTCTAAATAGAAAACGTAGAAAGTACCGAGATATATATCGTATATCGCCATTTGACCAAAAAATATCGAGATATGATTTTTTGGCCATATCGCCCAGCCCTAAGTTGTGCAATGTCCAACTGAAACGAATTGAAACAGTTCAATGTTACGCCGGAAGTGATCGCTTGCATGTGACGTCACTCAATATTTACACAGGGATTTCGGAAGTTTTACCTTTTACTGAACATATTTAGATATACCGAAATCGTCTTCCATTGCGGTTTCCCGTATATCTAAATATGTTTAGTGAAAGGTAAAACTTCCGAAATCTCTGTATAAACAAAGAGTGACGTAGGCGCGCAAGCGATCACTTCCGGCGCATGCGCAGACCGAAGCGCCTGTGCAGTCAGATCATTTTGTCATGGCTATGATTACAAAGGTAAAAACGATATAAATACCGTTATAGGCTACTGCTATAAAAACCGCTCGTTTCGTGTCTTAGGCCATCAGTGTGTACTTACTGTACATTTACGAGTCATTAAATGATGTTTAATTTTGACTTCTCTGTGCATGCTTTTTGGTGGAACCTCTTAGGCATTTTGGTGGACCCCCTTAGTGTATGACTGATAGACAACAATGGTTTGACTGAAAAATGTAAAAATTGAAAATACTGCGGAAACAAAGACACCTACATCTTGGATGCCCTTGAGGTAAGCTAAAACATATTAAAAATGAATTTCAAAGTGAACTATCCCTTTAAAAAACACATTGCTGCTTAATGCTGTCTGACATAAACATACAGATAACACCGTCCATGATGGTATTTGGACACCCAAACGGCACTTGTTCTTCTCTGAAAGGTAGTCATGCCAGGATACAGCACTATAGTTGTCGGGTCTGAACTGCATTTAGTCCTTGTCACCATTGCATGGTTTTACTCCGTGTGAGTTTGTTTTTGAGCGCATGTCTCATCTGCAGCATCCGTGAGCGCTTGTCCATAGCCAGCAGGTGTCGCTGAAACTCCTGCCGCACTTCACACACCAGCTGCCCGAACACAGCCTCCACTGCTGAGGTGTCCTCTGCTACAGACAGCTCAAAGAAACTGCACCTACATCACCAGTGCAACCGTAACTTTAACACGCACAGCAAAACCTTCACAAATAGTAAGTGATCATTTAAAGTGTGCTTAGATTTTTGACTTGTAGTGAATTGAATATCTGGTAGTGAAGTGATCTTATTATTATGACAAAATTCTGAAGGGAATAAATTGCCCCTTTTAATTTAGAAAATTGTGAGTAATCCGAGTGTATAGGAATTATTTGTAATTATTATAATTAAATATATTTATATTATTGTTAAATATTATTATAAAAAAATTACTAAAACTAAATATTGTTATTTTGCACAAAAAACAAGGTGATGAATATTTAATTGGAAATGCATATGGTGTCATTCTGTCATTTTGACTTGCGGTAAAATTACAAAAAAAAAAATAAAAAATTATGAAGCTAAATTGCCGTTCAAAAGTTTTGCTCACCAAGGCTACATTTATTTGATTAAAAAAAAAACACTAATATTGTTAAAAAACTGTTTTCCATTTTAATATATTTTGAAATGTAATTTACTCCTGTGATCAAAGCTGAATTTTCAACATCATTCCTCCAGTCCTCAGGTCACATGATCCTATAGAAATCATTCTAATATTTGGATTTGATGTTCAAAAAATATTCATTATTATTATCAATTCTGAAAACAGTTGTGTACAGTGCACAATTTTTTTTTCAGGATTCTTTGAAGAATAGAACGTTTAAAAGAACAACATTTAATTGAAATATAATCTTTTGTAACATTACAAATCTCTTTACTGTAACTTTTGATCAATTTAATTGATTCTTGGTTAATAAAAGTATTGATTTCTTATATTTATTCCCCCCAAAAAATAAGATAAAAATTCTTACTGACCCCAAACTTTTGGACGGTAGTGTTTCAGTAGTATTTCAAAAGCTTTCTATTTCAGATAAATGCTTTCTTTTGAACTTACTATTCTTCAACATTGATAATAAAGATAAATGTTTCTTGAGCATTAAATCATCATATTAGAATAATTTCTGAAGGATCATGTTGTAACACTGTCAAGTGTTACAATGTGACACTGAAGACTTGAGTGATGATGCTGAAAATTCAGCTTTCATCACAGGAAATAAATTACACTTTACTTACTATATATTCACATAGAAAAAAAGCTGTTTTAAATTGTAATAATATTTTTTTTGTACTTAATTTTGTAGTTTTTGTATTTTTAATCAAATAAATGCAGCCTTGATGAGCAGAAGAGATTTTAAAATTATTAAAAATCTTACCGATCCAAAACGTTTGACTGGTACTGTACGTCTAACACATGTAAATGGCATGGCTGATTCTCACATAAAAGATTTAAGAAGAACACATGGAATATCAAGGAATTAATAATTTTATTAGAAAAAAAAAACGTGGAAACACTATAGGCCTATTTTACAGTGTCCTTGTTGCACGTTACATGTAGTTGCTGTAGTAATAACTATAAATTATGCATAATTGCATGCAACTAACCTTAAACCAATCCCTAACCCTATAGTAAGTACATGTAGTTAATTATTAATACTCAGTACTTCAATGCATAGCACTGTAACACCTACACCTTAAAATAAAGTGTGACCAAAATTTGTCCCCCTTTAAGCATTCTAGAGTTAAACAATTCCTATATTTGTATATAATTCATACTAGGGGTGGCACGGTACATGAAAAAACACCCGAACCGTTCGGTTCGCTTGTCTCGGTTCGGAGCGTGTGTGCGTCTCACGGTTCGACGCATGCGCAATGTAACCTCGTGCCCGTATGTGACGTGTGTTTTCTTTTCGCGCGACATAAACTTGTTCGACGTGGACCGGCGCTGCACAGAGCGACCGGTGAATAACATCAATCTAGCGTGAGTCGGCTCCGTATGCATTCATCACTTTCGCGGTATTTGATGTCATTACCGATAGCTCTGTGCAGCGCCGGTTCAAGTTAGTAAACAAGCCAGTAAAAGTGGAGTATGGAGCGCTGCAGGTCACGGCACGCGGAGAAATGGCAAGTGGGAGAGATGAGGGAGTTGGAGGATGCGCCAGCGTCGTATAAGTCTATGGTATAAGTCCAGTGTGTGGGAACATTTTGGATTTCATGTTATGATATTTTAATTTAACTACAGTGGCACTTTATGTATAGATAAGAGCTTCAGTCATACGTTTCCAAACCCTGCACTTTAATTTTAAGTTGAAAAAAGTACCCTCACATTTTGGGAATAGAAGCATTGTTGATAGTACTGTTTTTGTGTTGAGGTTGAACTTAAATTTCACTTTATGTTTATGGCCTTTGCTATTGCTATAGCTAAATTATCTATAGGCAATGAGGTTTCATGTATATTGACATTTAAAAGACAGTGTTTTAAGAGTTCCTCTCTTTTTCTTTTAAAAGATAGAATTTTGGTAAGAGCTACAAAAGTTAGCAGTTGATACATGAAAGTTAATTTCTTTGTGTAAATAAGATTTATGTGATAAAAATGCACAAGTTCTTGTAGAGATAGTGATACACATTCTCCTTTTTTTTGCCAAATAAACAAAAAGCATGTCAATTTCTTCTCTCTTGCTGTATCTAAATCTCACCTAGCTTTCCTCTGAGATAGTCCAAAAATGTGCTTAAAGTTAAAGAGTCAAATTCAGTTTGTGCATGATTGCATGAATATAATATATATATATATATTAATACTGTATCCTAAAGTGTGGATAATTAAGCTATATATCACATGCTGAAGTACATTTCTGGAGTGTTAAAGATTAAAAGAAAAAATAACAAGAACCGTACAGAACCGAAAACCGTGACCCTAAAACCGTGATACAAACCGAACCGTGGGTTTTGTGAACCGTGCCACCCCTAATTCATACTATCATCATAAACCTGTGCAGTTATCAGTGAGAGTAAAGCATACTGACCTCAGGTCCGAGGCTAAAACCTGTCCCTCTTCCGTCCTCACCACTCGGCCGTTCTCCATGTCACATTTATTGGCAACAATGACTGTTGGAATGTCTGGAAGACACGCAAAGACATACACAGAATGTAGTAATGGATGCTATAGCTCTGAAGAAGAACAGACTACCATTAAAATGACAGTACCTGGAGATGGATGGTATAATAAAAGACTGCAGTGTTGTGATACTCTCTCCCTCTTTATCTCTTTCCACGTATCTATCCGTCATTAACAAACTCACACTCACAGACTGCAGTGTACTATATTAAGGGTTCATGCCTGAGGTGAAATCTCTGAACTGAGACCAATTAAGGCAGGCTGAGTCACACTGATGGATAACAGCGCTATTCACTAGTTGGAGGGTCCGTACACATAAACATGAGTGCTTGAAAAAATGCTAAAAACAGAATATTGTTACTATTTGTCCTCAGTCACTATGCTCCCAGAGTGATCATTCACAGTCTGATAGGCCTTACCGAGCGTTTGTTTAACATGGTCAATCAGTCTCTTCAGGCGTGACACAGCCTCAAAACTGCTGCGATCCGTCACGGAGTACATGATGAGGAACCCGTCACCCCATTTAATGGAACTCTCCAGTGAGGACACAGCAGCTCCTGCACACTCCTGAACACAAACAGATTCACACATCTGAAAAGTTCTTCACCTCCTGCATGTGAGTGAATGTGTGTGATGCAGTGAGGATAGAGATGACGCACATCTAGACTTTCACAGATGTGATTCTGAATGCAATTCTGGAGCGCAAAGGATGTGAACTAAATTCCCACAAACCAAAACCTCCTGCTTCTCAAATGGAGTTCCCAATCCTGGTCTTTAAGTCTGCAGATTTTGTCATTATCTAAAAGAATAGTCAAGCCAAAAATGAAAATTATGTCATTATTTACTCACCCCTATGTTGTTCCTAACATTTTGGGACCTGTGGAACACAGAAGATGATATTTTGAAATTTGATATTTTAGTCCATATAATGAGTCAATGGAGTTTTCAAGTTATTTTGGACCCCACTGTCTTTCATTGTATATAAGGAAAAATAATCATACAACACTTCAATGTAGCCTACACTGTATAGACAGAAAAATGTTTTTGTGTTCCACAGAAGAAAGTAAGTCACACAGGTTTGGAACGACAAGAGAATGAGTAAGGGATGGCAGAATTTTCATTTTTGGATAAAACATGCCTTCAGCACACCTGATATCTATCATCAGCTCATAAGAACAGGGTGTGTCACATAAGGGAGTCATCCATAATATCAGACCCGCTACTCTACTGTACTCACACAGCCTAATCCTATGAATTAACATGTGCCGCTCTCTACTGTGTACCATGAATAATGGCAGCCAGGCAGGCTGTTAAAGGCACTCCACCAGCCTGAGATTCAGCACAGCAGACATGAAAGGAATGGAATGGTTCAGAGAGTCCTGTGTCTCATCAGCCGTTTGACAAGGCAAGATCATCCTTTGGATAAATATGCGTGTAGAACAGCACGCCGGCAGATGCACAGTCACAAAGAGATGGTCCCTTAATAGGCAAGAACCAACACTGTAAGATATCATCTCAAGTACACTGTACCTTATTAACAGTGTCTAAAATCTCCAGTTCAATCGCCTCCTTCTCCACGATTTTCTGACACCTGTAGGTGACCTCTGAGACACAAAAAAGTATATGGCATGTCAAATGATGCACAGAACTCAACTGCAATACAGTTACACAAATGTATACAGAGTGAAAAACATGTCCACAGTTTTCACATGGTCAACAGAGCATCAGTGTGTGTGTATTTAATTTGTGTTACCCCTTTTATGTTCATACTCTCCAATAAAACGCCGGGTGATGAATCTGACACACAGAGCTGGAGTTCAAAAGAGAAAAACAGAGTTATTACAGTCGTCAAGATATAATATATAATCATTGAACTCAATAACACTGCAGTGTTACCTGTCTTCCCACAGTTATCTCTTCCCAGCACAACGAGCTTCGCTCTCAGCATCTTCCGTACAGACATGATCACTGATAATATTATATCTGAATAGTATAACACTCAGGCAATAAATGGCTGGAGCCAAAATAGGTACGAATTTTCCCTCGGGTTAACTGTGGCTGAACTTGCGGTACGCTGGACATGACAGATAACTGCGGCATAGATGCAACTTTGAATCTAATACAAAGTTAAAATACAAGGTACATTTTTAAAGAATGAAGAAAGCCTTCCAGAAATACTTACTTTGCTCCCGAAAGTTATTAGAAGTGCAAAAGAGCAACGCTTGACTCTATATCATTGTGTTCCAGTGGAGACTCTTGGCGTTCATATACTGCAGATTCTGCTGCTTCTGAGCTCTCCGGATGTCTTCTTTTAGTAATGACATTACACACACACACCAGACAGTACGTCATTGTTCAGCGCGGTCTCTCTACTTATTCCACAAATTTATCACCGGGCTCGACTGCGAGACTCATTAAACAACCATCTGATTTATCGCCTTTGACAGTCGAACCTCCGGAGCAGCACTTGCTCTTGCCGCCAACAAAACCATGAATTAACCCGGGATCAAATTAAAAGCTTTCTATTCTGGCCCCGATATATCTTTTACTCAGATTAAACGGCATCAGTGGGATTTCTTTGAGGACGAAACTCATAATAGGCAAGTGTTTCTGTCTGAAATACATGATCTAAAACAAAATTAACTAGTTTAATCTGAAAAGAGCTGAGATCATAAATAAATAACAAGCTTGCCTTGTTTGGAAAGTAAGTTGTTAAAAGCAAGCTTTTAAACAAATTCATAAACAGACCCAATACTGTTAAGGTTTAATTTATTGATTTCTTCTTTTTACAGGTCTATGGTTTTTAGTAAAATATTAGGGCTGTGCAAAAATTAATTGCGATTAATCGCATCCAAAATAAAAGTCTGTGTTTACATAATATATTTGTGTGTGCTGTATATAATTATTTTGTATATATAAATACAAACACATGCATGTATATATTTAAGAAAATGTGTTATTCATATATAAAATATTTATATTTATATAATATAGATTATGTATTTATATATGTATACAGAATTTAAGCGCAAATAATTCTTAAATATATACATGCATGCATAGGTATTTATATATACAAAATAATTATATACAGCACACACAAATATATTATGTAAACACAGACTTTTATTTTGGATGCGATTAATCACAATTAATTTTTGCACAGCCCTATAAAATATCAATAAGGATGTTAAAATAATAGTAATCTATAATAAAAGCCCCTGTCTATCAAAGCCCCTGTATATCATTCCTAAAGTACTAGTAAATTACTGAAATTTAAAAAAAGACTCCAGCTTTGCATTTTGTGAGTTTGTTAACAGGACCAATACAGAGTAACGAAACAACACATTCGGGATGGTTCACCCATAAATGAGAAGTACGTATCCTCATATCATTCTAAAACCGTATGACATTCTTTCTTCAGTGGAACATTAAGAGAAACGTCTCAGTACTTTTCCTCTGTGCATACAATGGGATAAATTGTCACCAAAACTGTTTAATTACCAACATTCTTCAAAATATCATATTTTGTGTTCCGCAGAAGAAAGTCATATAGGTTTGGACCGATATGCGGGGGAGTAAATGATAAGTGACAATTCTGAATTTTGTTTTTTCATCCAAAAATGAAATTTCTGTCATCAATTACTCACCTTCGTACCAAACCCGTAAGACTTTCGTTCATCTTCAGAACACAAATTTTTGATGAAATCCGGGTTTCACAAGCATTTCTGAGCCTTGAAAATTGCAATGGCGTTGCGGCTGGTTCAGAAACCTCTTCGATTTCATCAAAAATATCTTAATTTGTGTTCTGAAGATGAACGAAGGTCTTACGGGTTTAAAATGACATGAGGGTGAGTAATTACTGACAAAAAAACTTAATTTTGGGGTGAACTACGCATTTAACAAAAAAAAGGCAATGGCATGTGTAATAACAATTAAAAATAATTAAATGGTGAATCCTAAATTCCGTCCTAGCTGAAATGATTTTGGATGATTTCCTGTCGAACTCTTAGAGCCTCTGGATCGACAGTGTCATTGGGATCGATATCCTCCCCTGATTGGTCCGTGGCCTCAGTCCTCTCAAAAGTCCAGGCATCAAGGCCAGACTGCAGGGAAATATTATGTAACACACAACAGGCCTGGATGATATGGGAGCATTTCTCTGGGGAATACTGCAGGTAACCCTTTGCCCCATCCAGGCACCGGAAACGTGTCTGAATGGCTCTGAACGTGCGGTCCACAATCTCATGTGTTGTTGTGTGGGCCAGGTTATAGCGGTAGTCAGCAGGAGACTCCGGACTCTGCACTGGAGTCATCAGCCACTTCTTTAGATGGTAACGGTTGTCACCTGGAGGCCAGAAGCAGAAAACACACTCACATTTTCACATGTACAGTAAACAACAGCATAGAATTCTTTGGGAACGTCAAGAATAGGTCTCACTATGGGTCTTACCTAAAAGCCAACCTTCATTATTGTCTTGCTCTTCAAATAGCTTTGCCACACTGGACTGCTTAAAGACAGCTCTGTCTGTCAGACTACCCGGCCAATGTGTCTCAGCGCTCAGCAGCAGTCCTCTGGCATCACATACTAATTGACAATTGATTGAGTGAAATCCTTTTTTATTTACATAGGAAGAGTCATCTGCATTGGGAGCTTTAATGGCTATATGTGCACAGTCCACTACTCCCATGACATTGGGAATTCCTGCTATTCTGTAAAACTCCTCTTTAGACTGTTGCCTGGTGGCCTCATCCCTAGTGAAGCCAATACACTCTGGTGCTTTCTCAATCAGAGCTTTAGTGACATTAGACACACAACGGCTCATGGATGCCTGGCTAATGCCAATCGCATCTCCCATCTTGCTCTGGAAGGACCCGGTTGTGTAGAATCCCAGCGCTGCGAGTATCTGAACATCTGGACTAATGGCTCGTGACCTCTGTGTCCGTCTCAACAAGCTGTCCTTTAGAATTTCCACCAGGTAATAAATGAACTCACGTGGGAAGCCAAATGTTGTCAGCAGAAATTCATCTGACACTGTCTCGATATCAAATCGATCCAGTGTTTTGTGCCCTCGACCATGCAGCAGCAGGTCACAGTCTAGGATCGCAATAGAGATTGCCATTCCACACTCAGGAGGACCTATGGACAAATGCCACATGTGAATCTATCTCAAACTGAACTAGTTAACGTTAAATCAACCAGTTTATCGCCTGGTAACCAGCCCAGAAACGTAAAGTATTTTACACAAAACCTAACACAATTAACTCTTGATATAAATGATCTCCCAGTGAATAAATTATCTATCAATTCGAGGACCACAAATGCAGTGGAAACACTGCGAATGACTAAAAACGTTACCAGCACCGGTGATTGTTTGTGTACGCCGACATTGAATGTGACGCCACAGCTTTAACACATTTTCTATTCGTTATTTGCAGTTTCGATAACGTTAGTTGTATTCGTTACTTTTGACAACAAATTAAGATGTATATTAAAATATTCCATTATTATATGTGCTATTATAACAATTGCATACAATTATTTAACCATTTTTCACTAAATAACGAAAGTGGTGTGGTCGAATCGGTACAGGCAACACGTCATTCCAGACCTAGCCAAACAAGCAACATAAACAAAAATGGGGCGCCCGTCAGTGTGTGAGGTTGTGGTGCTACGATGTGATTAATTGAAAATACAGGACTGTTTAGGCTGTATTTTACCGTTTCACAAAATCAGCTACGGTCACTATCCACCGTTAACGTCATATTCTGCGTGTTAACAGTTGAATCTCCACTCTGTGATGAGCTGTAAGTATGTGCGCGTGTTTTGCTAAGGTGTTAGCATTGACTGAAAAGATACAGATGATGATTGTAAACAACTTGAGATGTTTGGCTGTCAAAAACAATTGGCGAGTCTGCTGTTTCAAATCTCTTCTCGGATTAACTGACTGTCAGTTGACATTGATTGTTATAAATCTGTTTTGAAGAGAAGAGTGCTATTGTTATTGTTTTCTATTGAGTAAGTTAGCGTACATTATTAACGTTAAATGCTTAGAGGCGAGCTGTCAGGGATGTGACAGTATGAATGACACTAAAGACATCAGTGAATTCGTTTATTATTACTAGGTGGGATGGTGCAAAAGATGACCCCCCACCATATTGTTTTTTTTTTTATTATTATTTTGACTATACATGGCACAAAATCCCAACTCAACACATTTGGTAAATGGTTATGCCCTGTTTCGTTTTTTCATGTCATATGAATATCAGCATTTTTAGTCAATAGAAACAGTTTTGAGGTTAACTGATCTAATTTTGTTTCTGTGGAAAGTATTGATCTGTCATCATTGTGGTATGTTGAAAATCAAAGTTTCCGTGTCATTGTTAATGAAGAATTTGTGGACAAATGAGTGTTTTTTAGATTTGTGGGGTTTAAAAAATATAGGCTAGTTTTTACTTAAAAAGGGAAAATATTATTCCGCCCTCAGAACAGAAGACCTGTTATTAAAATATAATAATAATAATCTACTAATAACATTATTATATTGTGTTTATTCAATAATTCCACAAGTTAGTTAGATGTTCATTTCAGACGTCTTGAATTTAGTGTTGTTATTGACAACTTCAATTAAAATATAATCAATTTTAAATGCATTCATGTGTCTGTTATATGTGATCGAATAAACTGGGATTCTGCTTTGTCTGTCGTCAGTTATTCAAATAATCAGACAAATAGAATAGATATAATATTTTACACTATTTTAATCTATATTAAGCAATATGTATGCAGAATGTATAATTTACACATTCTGCAAATGTTTATCTGTGGAGTGGAGTAAGATGGCCTCTTTGAATAACTTATATTCATTTCCCCTAATAAGACTTTGGCTGATAAATTGTCATCTTGTTGTATCTGAATATATTATGATTTTAAAATATTTGTAGAAATAAAAACAACAAAAAAACAGAAGTTTTTTACATTGTTCTTAATGGGACATCTTCCCCTACTAAATGACTTGACTTTTAATTATGTGTGTTATATACCTTTTCGATTACTGTACTATATTATCTGTAAAACATATCTTCCAACGCTTGCTGAGAAAACTCTCTATCATTTGTATGTCTTAGGCTTATGCGACGATGGATAGTGATCTGAGCCTACAGGACAAGAAAGACTTGGATAAATTCATCAAATTCTTTGCCTTGAAGGTGATTGCATTAAACAATACATTATAAGGTTTTGTTGCATCCATGAAATCTGGTCTCCCAGTCGACACAGTGATGATGTACTCTGTTTTACCTGTGTGTCTTTCAGACTGTGCAGGTTATAGTTCAAGCCCGACTTGGAGAGAAGATCACTACTTGCTCATCTTCATCACCGACCGGTTCAGACTGGGTAAAACACGTTGAGGATGCTCCTTTTACGAAGAGCCCTGTTTTCTTTACATCATAACTAACATGAACTCTGTTTGTCTGTGTGTCTTTATGTTCTTTCTCAGTTTAATCTGGCTATAAAAGACATCCCTGAGGTGACTCATGAGGCAAAAAAAGCTCTTGCTGGACAGCTGCCTGGCATCGGCAGATCCATGTGTGTGGAGATCTCCCTCAAAACTTCAGAGGTCTAATCTAATGCTTAAGATTTTTACTTGAGTATTAAAATGCCTACGATTTTTACTTCAGTATTAAAAATGTTTACCAATGCAGGGAGACTCCATGGAGCTGGAGACATGGTGTTTGGAAATGAATGAAAAGTAAGCACACTCTGATCCCTTACACCAGGGGTCGGCAAGTAACTTTGGCCACAGCTAGTAGATGGTGGGCCAACGACTTGTTTTTCCATTATTAATTTCCTGAACTAAAATCAAAAAAACAAATAACAATGGTTTTTCTGATTGTGTGCTCCGATCAAAAATAGAAAAAATTAATTACTGGATTGCTTATCACTGTATTGTGATAACAGATTACAGCCATTTAAACATACACACCTAAGGCTACACAACCAACATACACACCTAAGGCTTAAGGAGGTCTGTGCGGGACTGTTTCATCCCGCTCCCACAAAGTTCTATTCAGCAACCGCTTAAAATACACTGTGTTCCCCCTTTATTTCCCCACCTGGTGGGCCCAAAATGTAGATCTCGTTTCCAGAATCTCCCATTCTCCCATTCAAATGTCTCTTACGGAAAGAGAGATTAAGTAGCCTATAACAATTATAAATACTATAAAATTGTGTTTGTGTCGATATAAAATATTATTTTAACATTGTACAGTCAGCAGAAAAAAAAATGTCACAGAAAAAAATGAATGAAATATAAATAACAAATTAAATAGGACAAAGCCCATGACTAAAATAAAATTTCTAAGCAACATAAACGAAAACCATATTGCCCTACTGATAAATGAAGTAGGCCATTTTCTGCCAAACTATTTCAAACATCCTTGTTGTTTAAAAAGAATGTTGTTGACTGACAATGGTTTCACTACCAATACGCTGCGGATACGCTGTCAAAAGATGTCGGGAGTGGGCTCAGACCACCCGCACCTGCTCCGTCCAAAGTATAGATACACCAGAGTTCCGACCGCTACCGTCTTTATACTTTAAAATAATCGTGAAATTGCTGTGATCGTGAAAGTAGTGGAAGAGTTTTGTGCACCAATTAGTGGAAATATTTTTTATCAGGTAATACAAATTAAAAAAAAAAGGCTGATTTAAAAAAAAAAAAACAGATTTCCAAAATATTCCGGTGGGCTTGCCGACCCCTGCCCTTACACATTCAGATGTCAACTGCTCTGTGTAGAGGTTGGTACATTAACAACGTATACCAGGACATAACTACAGTTTGGATTTTTTTTCCAGGTGTGATAAGGACATTAAAGTGTCCTATACAGTTTATAATCGGCTGTCGCTGCTGCTCAAGTCTTTACTGGCCATCACAAGGGTGACACCTGCTTACAAGCTTTCACGTAAACAAGGCCATGATTATGTCATACTCTACAGGTACACAACACACTTCCTTCAATGTCCACAAAGCCTCATAATAATACATGATTTAATGCAGGGAAACCGAGTTTGCTACGTTTCTTGACACTGTTATTTGGCTGAATTGAATCAACACTGAAGTGACTTGAGCTGAATATTATTAAACTACACTATTGCTGTCTTTAGAGCTGCTTATAGCTTGTTTCATAATTTAATTAGCTTTGCACTTGTTGAACTAAACTGAATTCACACTGAACTGATTTTGAGCTGAAGAATGACACTATTATCTACTATAAAGATGCTTTATTAAACTGAGTTGTTTTTCGTAAGTACTGAACTCTGCAACATTCACAGTGTTGAAATAAATAAGGAATAATGACACTTTTCTTTTTTTAGAGCTGCTTTACAGTAAAAATTGTATTTGTTTAATAGTTAAAGAACTTTGCAACATTAATACTCTTATTTCTTGTTTATTACTGTGAAGCTGCTTTGAAACAATCTGTATTGTATCAAGCTCTATATAAATAAATAAATTGACTTGACATTATCTTAATAATATCTCTTTGATAGGATCTATTTTGGAGATGTCCAGCTGACAGGTTTTGGAGAAGGTAATACTGAGGAGCAAAACACTAATAAATGTTGTGTAGATATTCTCCAGAGAGCCGTGTATTTATTCAGATTCTTCACGTCTCTCCGCAGGGTTCCAGACAGTGCGAGTGGGTATTGTAGGCACTCCCATAGGCACCATCACTTTGTCCTGTGCGTATCGCACTAATTTGGCCCTCATGTCTTCAAGGTATACATCACAGCTTCCCGTATGCAACACGTTTAAAAGATTGGGCATTCTGGTTATAGTAGTTTTGTAGTGGTTTTGTTCTAGGTGTCTTTGTGTTTTTTTCACAGGCAGTTTGAGAGGACAGGCCCCATCATGGGTATTATCATTGATCATTTTGTGGAGCGACCCTTCACTAATATGGCACACATGCATCCTTGCAGTTACAGGTGTGAAAAAGCATTTCACTGAATAGATACTATTCTGTTTAAACGTTTGGGATCAGTAAGATTTTTGTTTTACAATGTTACATAAAAACAATGTTGTTCATATAAATGCTGTTCTTTTTAACTTTCTATTAAACAAATAGTTCAGGAAAAAAAATCCACAAAAATACTAAGCAACTTTTTTCATTGATTTCATTGAAGAAGTATAGAACCTCACCAGTTGAACCTCAAAATGTTTTTTTTATTTTTTATATTTTGTTTTTACAGTAGAATGGTGTACAATAGACCTATGTAATAGTGATAAAACTAATTCCATCACATCTCTAGTTGAATTTAAACTATGGATCTAATACCAGTGTCTCACTTCAACATACTGATAGTACAGAGATTCAAACTGCTAACTGCTCTCTTAACCTCTGGCCTCATACCTCCTCTTTTTCTCTTAGAGCTCCTGGAGAAGATGAGGGAGGGGCTTATGCAGGAATAGAAGACTCTCAGGAGGTGTGCACCACATCCTTTTCCACCTCCCCACCATCACAGGTAATGCCGTCACTATCACCTACTCATCTGTTCCATCAAAAGTAACCCTTTACCACCATCTTTGTGCAGGTCAAGCCTCAATACAGGTGCAGTGCAGCCTGTCATTTTAGAGAATAACGTTTAACCTCTAATAATCGATAAACTGCTGTCCTGATTAGTGTTGTTATTGTAAAACTAAAAATAGAACAAATAGTTTTCAGTATTTTAAAAACAAAAACTTCAAATAGAATATTTGCCTTGGAAGTTGAAGTACTAAAATCATAAAAACTGAAATAAAAATAAATTAAAGTAAAATAGATATTTAAAAAAAATGAATAAAAAGAAAAAATCATGTAACATGTTTACAAAAATGTCAACTAAAGTTAAAATAAAAAATGAATGTTTAAAAATAAAAGCTATTTCAAAATATTTATAAATGTTAAAATAGTTTATGAATAATACTAAAATAACGCTGGTCTTGCTGTACTGAGTGGTATTGCAGGGTTCAGAAGGCAAATGCTAACAAAGTCAATACGGTCATAAAATGCCGTGTATGTGTCTATAGCATCAGATTGTCTCTCTCTCCCCATTATCTCTTTCTGTGGTAGTGCTTTCATTTCTGTTGCCCTTGTTTTTCTTCCTTTCTCTCTTTCTTTCTTTCTGTGTGCATGTAGTGTGCGTGTACTGTAAGTAAGGCACATTTTAAGACACCTAAGCCGGCTCTGATGGCCACACTGAAGGTTCCCCTCATGGGGCTTGGCATCTCACAGCAAGTGAGTCGTGTGTGTGTGTACACGCATGCAGCTGGTAGAATAATTACAAAGAGTGTGTGTGTCCTGGCCCAGTAACCTTTATTCCACTGCTTACCCTTCATAACATCAAATAACTTTTTAATTAAGTAACAGTAAAACCCATCCTAGAGATTGTTTGCACACGATCGCTGCTGCCTTCTCCTTGAGCTCACCTGCCTGCTGTTTTATTTGAATTATTATTGTGTTTGCTCCTCTGACCACTTCTCTGTTCCCTCTTGCTCTCTGCTCTGCAGTGAGGTTAATACAGGACCGGACTCTTAATCTGACATTTCACTCCCATTGTGACATGAATCTCTCTCTGTCTCTCAGCTGTACAGCTCTCGTCTGTCATATCAGACTCCTGCCCTGGGAACTGTGGATTTGTGCCATCCTACGACTTGTCCTGCTGCTGTACATCCTCACCAGGTACGGGCCACACACATGCAGTCTCACTGTCCTGACTTCATGCCCTTCATCCCCCCTGATGTAGACCAGCTGCTGGGAATTACTGTCTACAGAATAGTGCGTGTATGTTTGTCTGTCATTCTGCCCTGACCAAGGTGGCCATGTGTTTTTCTCTACCTAATCAGATGGCTGTGCCAGGTAAAGAAGGTGGAGTCCCACAGGTCCCGGCTCAACCTAATCATGGCACTGCGGCTGAGCACGGTCGTATCCCATCATGCCCCACTGGACAGTCCCATCAGCCGGCACCACCCACATCCTGTGGCAGGTAAGAGTGTGAAGAGATTCTGTTCGGTACTCATTTTTTTCATTTGTCAATTCAGCAAAGTTTGAATCCATGTTTGTGTGTGTGTGTGTGTGTGTGTGTGGTAGCGAGGTGAAGACTGTGTGCCCTTCTGATGCTCCTGAGACAACCTTCACCAGGAAAGTTGGAGCTTTTGTCAACAAAGCCACCACACAGGTTAGAATACACTTACAAAAACAAAATCAGAACAAACATTCCATCATCAGTTAATGTTCTTTGAATTTGTTAAAATGTTTTCATATAAAAAGAAAAAAAAAAACCCGCACATGATATCGGCCAAAAAGCTCATGAGATTTAATTTCCAAAGGCCACAAATAAAGTGCCAAAGTGCAAGAAGTGTTTACCTAAATGGCATCTCGCAATCACCTATAATGATAGACTTTGTACCAATATCACAATCCGTCCTTTTTTTAAAATATAAATTCATTTAACAAAGATGGGGCAAGCCTATGCATTCTGACGTTTTGTGTACATGTTACTCTAGGTGACGACAAACAGTCTGGATCTTCCTTTTGCTGCGTTCGCTCCAAGAGTCTATGACCTGGAGGAGAACGACCCAATGGTATACTTAAGCAAACCCACTACATGTCCTTAGCTTGCAGCTGCGGCCTCCACTGTCTCTTCATATTTTTCTCTGTTTGCAGGTGCACCCTCCTCCATCCCCGGCCCCTTCATCTCCTTTGCAAGGCAGCCTGCATTCAAACAGCTCGAGCCACAGCGGGGGACAGCCACAAGACGACTTTGTCATGGTTGACTTTGTAGGTGCTCCACTACATGATATATACAGTATATATATATAAAAAATGTATCCTACTTTCCTCTAGAGATATTGAGAGCTATATTGCAGCGAGCACATTGAAAGGCACAGCATTAGCAAAGCATTGAATGAATGGGGACTGATCAGAATCATTATAGAGGTTTGACAGCAAAAGGGAGTTTATCAAGCCCTTCACAGAGCATTTAGTGATCCAGACAAGTCAATAATTCATCTGAAAAGAAGCTTAGACTCTGACCTGAGAGACAGCTCCAGACGATTGATGTTTAATAAATCTAAAGAAGACTTTACTCTTCTGCATTTTTATTTCATAAGTACAGTGTTAAATGATGCAGTAGTATCCCACGCCAAATGGACTTCTTTGAAGCTAGTGAGTGTTGCCTCAGAGAGGCCCAAAGAGACCTGCTTGATCATGTGGTTTTTTTTTTGTAAGTATGTTTATCCATGACAGAGCATAACTGCGTTTATCAGAGCTATTGATTATTGAGCTAGAAAATCAATACAAATGTTACTAGAGAGAGAAAACCAGAAAATACTGTCTTGTTTTGTTTTGGCAGCAGGGACATGAGAATTGTACTATGAAACCAATTGTGTAAACAAGCAAGTATTTATTTAGTCAAACCTTAGAAGTATAAAGTAAAAGACAGATATAGTTCATATTGTGTTTAAAGAACAGTTCTGTGTTTATGTGTGCCGAACAGAAACCAGCGTTCTCTAAGGATGACCTTCTGCCAATGGATCTAGGCACTTTCTATAGAGAGTTTCAAAACCCTCCTCAACTCGCAAGCCTGTCCATCGATGTCAGCGCTCAGTCTATGGCTGAGGACTTGGTGAGAAACAAACACATATTTGCATCACAGCACATTCTGGACATTTTTGCAGTCTAAATGGGACAGGATGACCTTAAAGCAAGAAAGACAAGTTATTATACATAAGACAGATTTTTTTTTTTAAGCACCAAACCAGGGTTGGTGTTAAAATCATAATTGAAAATTTTTAATTGTGTGGATACTAAAATTAAGAACTATTAAATAATTGCAAGTATTATTTAAGTGTAGTTCTTTTAGAAACTGAATCTGTATACAAACTATGTATACTGTTGGGTAGGGTGACTGATTCATTATATTCATGTCATATTATGATGTTTTAACTCTTAACATTGTGATGTAAAGTTATTTAACTTTGGTAAAGTGAATGTATTTGAATTTGTATATGAATGTATTTTTACAGGACTCTCTTCCAGAGAAACTGGCCATTTATGAGAAAAACATTGACGAGTTTGATGCATTTGTGGACACCTTACAATAGAACAGAACAGAGATTTCATCCTTCACAACCTCTTTACTCGTCCTGCTTCATTCACTTTCAGGCATCGATATTTTCATTAACAATGTTTTGTGTCAGCTTTACCATGTGCAATGGTGTATGAAAAGAATCATCATTACGGAAAAAAGTTAACTGAGGTAAGGTATAAGATGAATCCACTGGCTTGGGGACAGCATCTGTTAAAGGAAGAGCAACATTAATTCTCCCACCCTTGTATTTATTAAGATAGCAGAACTGTGTAAGTAATGCTCACTGTAATGAATGTATAAACCTGTACCAGCCTTTATTTTTGTTTTGCTCATCCTGACAACACATCCAGCTCACTGACTAGTCACTGAAACAGATCTCTGAAGTGTAAGGGAAAATCTGAGAATATGGGCTTGCACATGAATGACACTACAGTGAAGTCTGTCTGCTTATCTGCTTTCCCGTAAATGCATTTTACCATAACTTTTCAAACTTTCTTTATGTAGGGACAGATTACAACTTGTCAGGTCTTGAATGGTGAGGAATGTTTTTTTTCCTTGTCTTTTTTTTAAAGCTTATGTTGGCAAGTCACTAGGAGCTGGACCTTCTTTAATTATTTAAAGTGTCATCTTTCTTCCCCTCACTTTGTTAAATAAGGCATGTAAATGTTGTGTAATAAACTGATTTATTTCACACAGCCTATTTTTTTCTCTCTCTCTGTCTCTCTCATAAATCCTGAACTGGTAAAAAAAAAAAAAAAAAAAAAACATTGAGTCTCCTTGAGGGAAACTTCCAGTTCCTTAAGCTTGACGTTCACCCAATAGAGAGGCGAATGTTTGGCTTATTAATATTAATTAGGTTGCGTAACTGGAAGGTTACCAAGGAACGTGTGCAGTGGCTATTTGAAAATTCATGAGTACAATAGCACAAACACGCCTACTTCCATATAAGGATGAAACAGTGTTGTTTTGACAGTGAAATGTTATTCTATTGCCCAGCAATCTGAACAACACCTATATGTAAAGCGGACTGTGCAGTCTTCTTTGCAAAAGCGGACTTCAATCGCTTACAAAAGTAAGTTTTAGTTACTCTTGGGTTACGTAAATTCACGTACACACGTTTGTTTATAGTACCCGTCAGATAGGTGTCCACACCATAGATATCTATGGTCCACACTCGAGAAAGGCTCGCTTAGTCAGTCGTCTTTATGTAATAATAACTTAAAGTGGTACGGAGCTTCAACTTATGTATATTTAACTTTTAAATATTCAAATGAGAGCAAATGCTTGTTTGTTTGTTTTGTCTTTACTTGCGGCATAGTGAGTGTCTGTTTTGTATTTTGGAGAGCAAATGTTTAGAGATCACACTCGGGACAGTTGGGAATGGGATCCGGACAGTAAATCTCCTGATGCTCATCTGTCTCGATGCCGACAGGCTGTCTATTTTCATGTCAGTCCTCTGCTGGACAGTCAGGGGACCGCAGGGGTTAGAGGCAGCAAAGGTGAGACTCTATTTTCGCTTTTTTTGTTGTTCTTACGTATTATTGCAATAAAGTTCACTGTTACATTTAATCAAGGTCATACAGGCTATATAAACGTGTAGTTGAACATTAAGTACTAGTTTGCACTTAAGACTGGCGTAAGTTAATTTTTAACTAGTGATTGTAATGCTAATAAGGCTTTTATTATGCTCTACTTGAGTTCTCGGGTACTGTGTTGTCGTTTTGAGGATACAAGGAATGTAGAGTATGCTCATTACTTCAGAATAACAAATATTTCTACATAAGGTTTCACCCATGGTGAGCATTACTGGGAGATTGAGTTCCTTGAGCCTCCATATGGAAGCTCTGTAATGGTGGGGGTTGGTACCCAAAATGCACTGCTTCACACAGGAGACCAAAGGTTCATTAACCTCATAGGTGAGTACAGTCATGTTTCTCTTAGAAACGTCCACCACATTATTCACCCACATTTTAGGGAGACAGACAATCAATGTGTCATGGCCAAAATCATTCACGATGTAAATGGCAAATAGGGAGCAGCGACAAAGTTTGATTCATTTAAATTAATTACACCATCTAATTATCAAACAGGAATTTTGTCCCATTTTGTGTGAATCACTGACTTGTTGAGTGTCCTGTTTCTTTTTTCAAAAAGGCATTGACAGTGAGAGTTGGGGTCTATCATACAAAGGCTTCATCTGGCATAATGGAAGGTGTCAAAAATACTCAGAGCCTTTTTATGAAAGAAATACAGTCATTGGGGTTCTGCTGGACTTGAGCGCTGGAACACTGACGTTCTTCCGAAATGGAGTGAACCTTGGGGTGGCCTTCTCTGGCCTAGAGGAGGTAAAAAGGGGGAAACATCACTGCACATACATATGTAGGTTATGTGGGTACTTATAAAAAATAAAGTTTTTGTTCCTTGCAGGTCAGCAAGGCTCTGTTTCCTATGGTGAGCTCTACTGCCCCTGAAACTGAGCTTCAGCTGGGTTTGAGAAGCCAGAGAATCTCCTCCCTAAAGGAGCAGTGTATTTACATCATCACACAGTCGCTTTCACATTGTAGACACGCACACAAATTACCATTACCCACACCTCTGGTCTGTCAAATACACACACATGCACAATTAAGCAGGGCATAATCTGTTTCTGATACGTTTAGATCATGTCAACTTCAAATAACAATTACAATAACAATTTTGTAATTCTACAAATCACAATTATGTCCAGTGCAATGGATTCATTTTATATGCAGCCCCTATTAAAAAAATGTTTATTTTTGTGTGCTTAAATTGAAAAAATAAAATCAATTCAAAGCCGTTGTATAATAATTTATAATTATAATAATTTAAATAATTATTTATATATATATTATATAATATATATATATATAAATATTTAAATTATTATAATTAACCTCTTTCTGTATCTGTATTCCTGTTTGTATTCTTAATTTCTGCACTTGGTGAAGTGGCAATGACAAAGTTCCAAAATACTATATAACTGTATTTATTTTTAGTTTAATGAACTCCCCATGTCATTATTACTGGAAAAAAATATCTAAAAGCCAATAAAATGCCTGCTTTTATCTGTCCTTATCTGTTTTTATTTGCTCATCACAACCTGTATATGTTCTAAAGCTTACAAAACAAAACCACAAAAGGGGGGGAATATATGACACCATTTCTAACAATTTATTACTCTGAATTCACAACATGATATACAAAAGTAAAGATTTCAAAAGCACAGAATATGTTTTAACAGCCAAGATGGAAGAAAAGAACCTTCACGAAAGAAGTAATAAGTAAAAGTTCCACCAGGAAACCAGAGATACACGTCTACAGCACAGGTAAACAGGTGTGTGTTTGGATACAGATACAAGAGAATGGCACAAAGTTCACACATCTGTGCAGAGAGGGGGAATTCAATTCAACAGCTAATATCATCGCCAGTTCACTCCAGTAAGGCACACAGACACGTGGGTTTGAGGGAGCTTGTCTAAAACTATTAAAGCCACTGGTCCACATGTCAATGCTCAGAGGTATTGACATGAATAAGACATTTGGATGACACAGTAAACAGTTACAATTCAATATCAAGGCATATGACACAACTCGTTAGTGCTAAATTGATTAGTACCCAAGTACCTGCTTTATGGTTATTTTGGACTTCAGATCATGAAACAATTCTCCTTTTGTGTGAAATACTGACAGTTCATATCCATTAATTATGAAATTTAAAGCGAAGGGGTAACTCCCACTCCACGTACAGAGCCCCGTGATACAACTGGACTGTCGATGCACTTGCATTTTCATGTACTCAGACACCAGCAAAAACTTATCGCACTATGATATATTTCCTCATAGATAAAACCACAATTTTACGAAGAGGACAAAATGACATCAAATTTGTGTTTGCTATTCCTTATCTTGTTCGGTTTTCAAATGTGCTCATGTGTAATGGCACTGTCCCTGACAGGCAGTATGTCTTCTAATTACAAATAAAATTTACCATAACCATTTTAACCACATAATCCTTGGCCAAAATAAATATTTCTGGGGTATAATATAATACAACAGCATTACTGAAAAGACCACACACAAAATACACAAAACTCCACACATACAGAGAGAAGGGTGACTGGTGGCAGATATAAAAAAAAAAAAATCAGCTGTTTCAGCATCAGGAAATTTGAGCTGGCCATTAAAAGTATCTGCCCTGTTCCTGTAACCACTGAGACACTAAATAAAAAGATGAAATGGATAATAGAAATAATAATAGAAATGTGAATGAAAGATCTTTAAGACCATACATAATAACATATATACTTCATGTAATAAGAAAGAAGCATGTTTAAAATAAGTGTTTCAAGTTTTGTGTAGTAGTGCTTTACACTTGTCCATAGCTTGTGCCAGCTATGGCTTACAAAATAGAGGACGTGTGCATTTGGTCGAATGTTTTTTTTTTTTTTTCTCTGAAAAATGAATTTAAATTAACTTGCATCGGTCAAGTCGAACAAACAATATCCAAAGTACAGCTGATGAGCAAAAAAAAAAAAAAAACATGGCTACCTATACTCCTTGTTGTTTTATTGATGTAGGCCTCTGCTAACAGACCTTATAAAACTCTTGTGCCTGTGCAGTACCATTATGTCTGACAGCAGCTACATGACTTCTGGAGGAGAGATTGTCATGATTGTCAGAATTTAAAAAAAATCACAGCCTAAACTTTTGTGGTAGCTTGACAGCCCTGCGCCTTCTAGTATCCTTTTCATGTAGCTTCACCCAGTTGAAACACTCATGCATTTGACAATACTGAAGGACGGGACACAGCAGAGGGGCAACGCTATGGAACAGGGAAGGAACAATAACCAGGGTGGAGTCAACGTGAAAAGATCTCCTCCTCCTCACTGAGCAAAGACCTCCTGATGAAGGTCAAGCAGGATGCGGGTGAAGTTGTTGATTGGTCCGATTGCGCTGAGTGTCATGGAAGCATCCTGCCCCCACAGCAAGTTGGGCCCAAACACCACAGCCAGGTTGGCATTGGTCATCTTATTGACTTCACTCTCAGCGGAAACCTGCACATCAATAACAATAAAAATCGGAAACAATAACAGGCTTAAAGAAGAAAGTATTTAAGAAATACTGAGCAAGATCTATTGACAGGGATATTTATTTCTACATTGAGGTTACCTGTACAATTATCAGCTATTTTTGTAAGGGAAACGTATAATTAAAAAAATTGTGTTGGGAAAAGTTTAATGAAATTTTTAAAAATCAGATTTTTAAAGTGCCCCAATTATCCTATTTTAAAGGGATACTCCACTTTTTTTGGAAATAGGCTCATTTTACAACCCCCCCAGAGTTAAACAGTTGAGTTTTACCGTTTTCGATTCCATTCAGCCGATTTTCTGATATTTAGAAGAATATCAGTAAACAGACAGTTCTGGACTTCCATAGTAGGAAAAAAATATACTATGGAAGTCAATGAGACCAGAAACTGTCTGTTTACTGATATTCTTCTAAATATCAGAAAATTGGCTGAATACATCTGAAAATGGTAACACTCAACTGTTTAACTCTTTAAAGGTCCTACTTTAAGTTTACATGTAACCAAGGTAGTCGTTTTTAAAAAGTTTTTTTAAAGTAAGTAATTTTCTCATAATATACACTGAACATCACCTCATTTCTCAGTGACTGA